TTTGTATTTCCCATCTTGATGTGAATTATTATGTTTTTTATTACTTTATTTGTTTTTTAAGGACTTTACTATTATTTTTAAATTTATAGCTGTGTATACTCTTTCTCTCCCAAGCCTATATATATTTTTAAACATACTGCAGCTCATTTAGAATTTTCCTGTGGATCTGTCTTTCCTGAGCATCTGTATTGCTTTTTGATTGCATGTGATGAATCTTAAACTGCTATGTTAGTCGCTGGCATGAATTGGCACATGGCATTGCCAGTTGGCTCCTCCCCCACTCCTTAGTTCCCTGAGAGCTTATCCTCATGGTGGAGGTACCATCAGGGACCATGTGTAGTGCCCCAGCTCTGGAAAGTTGTTGGGTCATGGATTAGCAAACTCGATGCTCATAAACTGCATTTAATTGTTCATTAGCAGGACCTCTTAAAAGAGCAGCACCAGGGTGTGCCAGTAGCACAAAGCCAGGAACCTGCCTCTTAAGAGAACCTCACCTCTGTTTGTTGCTAATATCAAGCCTACCCAAGTAAAGGCAGTTTTCAGGAAACTACATTTGACTTTTTTATGTGCTTAGAATCTTTTTTTTAAAGCTTTGTTATGTCAATGTGAAATTCTGGACATTGGTACGCTTTGAGCAGGTTTCCAAAACCTAAATGGTACTTCCATCAGTTGTGCTAAGGTCTGGGGGCCTGTTACAGTAGTTGCAGTAAACTGAAACTAAGGCCTGGTCAATGACAGGGGCCATTAGAAAGCTGCCATGATTCTGGTGTGGTTCCCTGGCCCTCTCATTCCCCTCTTGAGTAGTGTATCATCTCAAATCCTTGAGATGCAACCTCTGGATCCATAGGCTTGTATTGTTGTTTTAGAACCATTAGTTGGACCGTGGAGATCTAATTATTTACAGTCATGACTAGGTCCACAAGTTAAGGCCAACAGTAAGAGGACCAAGGACCCAGCCAAGGACAACAGGAGAGTAATTAACCAAGGTGATCTGTTATGAGTAGAGATTTATATCATCTTTTATTTCATTGGGTCTTTTTTTTTGATTAGGTTTATGAGGTCTTTTATGACTCCTGAATAGCTAGCATAAAAATAGCATTGTTTTCCCATTGCCAGACATAAACACACACACACACACACACACACACACACACACACACACACACACACACACGCACGCACGCACACACGCACATGCACACACGCATCACACTCCACTTCCCACCCTCATTGGAGGAACAGTAAGTCTAGTCTCCCTTTTATTGTGGAAGACTACCTCAGCTAATAAGGAGAATGAATTCTTTAGATGCTGATGGATTTTTTTTTAGGGTGGCCATATCTGAATCTGAATATATGGTAATGCTCAAAATCCTATAATGTTGGCCTTGGAGGATGAGGATTGAATGTCTAATGGGAGGGTTAACAATGCCCTGAGTCTTTTTCCATTGGTCCACTGATTTGGCCATATAACCTTCAACCCCAGTTTTTGTGGGGGGTTTTTTCTGTTGTTGTTGTTTTTGACATCTAAACAGACTTTTTTTTTTTAACTAACATTATTGAATTGATTTAATATTGGGCTGTTCATCCCTTCTCCAGAAAATTTAGACTGTTAAGCATTCAGACATTTTTGGTTTGGTTCCCTGGTCCTCTCATTCAGCACCACATAAACTGAATCCTAGTAGCCCCAACACTCAGAAGGATTTAAAGTTCAAGGTAATCTTCAGTTACATAGCAAATTGGAGGCCAGCCTGGGCTACATATATCCTGTTTTAAAACAAAACAAAAAAGACATCATTGAGATTATGTAGCTTAGGCTGGGCTGTAGCTTACACCTCTAATCCCAGCATCCAGGAGGCAAAGACAGGTGATCTCTGAGTTTGAGGTCAGCCTGGACTAGAGTGAGTTCCAGGACAGCCAGACCTGTTACACAGAGAAACCCTGCCTTGAGAACAAAAGCAACAACAAAACCAAGCAAAAAAGCATTTTAAGAGTCCACTGATTAACTCTACTTTGGAATGAATGGGTACATCTGGATACCTCATTGATCTGAAGAACAAGACATGTTGCTGGGCCTCTAAGAATTGGAAAGATCTGACATTAACAGAATGTAAAACAGATTTTGGGGGCAGGTATTTCTGCTCCTACTTTCTATCTTAATTTATCTTTCTGAAAATAAACCTTTTCTTTGACATCTACACCGTCACAGGTGTCCTTGGCCTCATATGTTTATAAGCTTAGATTTGCCTAGATTCCAATTTTAAATTTCCAGGAACAATTCATTATTCACCTGCTATCTACAATTAGTTTGGTTATTTCTACAAAATGTTCCCTGAAGTGTTCTGTCATTGTCAGTTTTTTAATTCAAACCTCTGTGTCTCACCTGAAATAGTTTAAAAGTTTCTTGGGTGAGATGTCAGCGGCCACCAAGCCCAATAACCTGAGTTCAATCCCAAACACATGATGGAAGGAAAAAACTCTTGTCTTCTGCCCTCCACAAATAAGGGCCCACCATCCAACACACACATCCATAATGTTTTTTAAAAAACAGAAAAACCTTTACTGTTTTTTTTTCCGTCCTTGTCTTGATGTGACAATAGTGTAAGGGTTAAATAAAAAATTTAAAGCACCCCATAGCTAACCCTGATGGCACATGCCTGTAAGGCCTAATAAACCCAGCTATATGGAAGTCTGAGGCAGGAAGATTCAAAGTTCAAGGCTACCTTGGGAAAGTTATCCAGAGAAAATGCAGAGCACCTCAGGCTTTAATTCCAGGCTGGTGGATCTCTCTTAGAGGCCAGCCTGGACTATGGAGTGAATTCCAGGACTACACAGAGAAACCCTGTCTCAAAACACAAAAACAATAATATAACACACACACACATACACACACACACAAAAAAAAAAGTCAAGCATGGTGGGTTATGCCTATAATGCCAGACTTTGAGAAGCTGAGTTCAGCCTGGGTTACAGAAATCCTGTCTCAAAAATTATCTGTCTCAAAAATTATCTTCTGGGCATGCCGCTAAATCGATAAAGTGCTTGCCCAGCATGCTTGTAGCCCTGGATACAATCCTAGCACAGAATATAGGGGTGGATCACCCCGCAATCCCAGTACAGAAATCAAAGGTTGGGGAAGGATTAAGGTCATTTCAGCTACAAAGAGTTTGAGGTCAGGGTGTTGTATGTGGAATCCTGTCTCAAAACACACAGATATGTAACAAGGAAAAACAAAGACAAACAAACAAACAAAAAAAAAGCTGAAGTTACAAGTCAAAGTTCCTGACAAACTAGACAAACGTTTACTTTTCAATTCTGAGCTTTCTTTTCAGAAAACAGACAAAACTACTGAATGAGTTTTTTGGGGTTTTTTTTGTTTTGTTTTTCTGAGAAGTTTTATTTAGGGGAAGGGAAGGGAGTGAGCAAAGAGAAGGGAGGAAGAGACAAAGACCTGTCTGCCTCTTCAGAGGAACAACAGGAAAGAATATTTTTGGTAGTTTTATAAATGTATATAGTGCATTTAGATTACATCCATCCATCCCACCAACCGCCCACCTAAAAAGTACCTTTTGCACAACTCGCCAAGACCCACACTCATTTGCTGCTAGTAGATGGCTGTTCGAAGTTTTTTTTGTTTTTTTTTTTTTTTTTTTTTTTTTTTTGGTTTTTCAAGACAGGGTTTCTCTGTGGTTTTGGAGCGTCTCCTGTAACTAGCTCTTGTAGACCAGGCTGGTCTCGAACTCATAGAGATCCGCTTGCCTCTGCAAGTTCAGGGATTAAAGACATGCTGAAAGATTTTACTTTGCAAAGCAAAGATGTAAGAAAAGGGCAGGGGAATAATGCTTGCAAGCAGAATATAGAAAATCATAAGGCATGAACATTGACATGGGAGGAGAGAACAGAAATTATGAAAACAAGAAAGTTACTATGGTGAGAGGGCTAATGTTCATGCTAGACTGATCTTGTTAAATAGGGCTAGTTACAGAGTTACAGCCAAGAGAAAGTCAGAGGTCTTGGCCCACAACAAGGAAATAGGCCCCCAACCCTGGAACAAATGGTCCCAGATGAACAGCCCTGTTTGGGTCACTCCTGGCTAACGGACAGTCTAGGAACTTTCCAAGTCATTCTATGGTTTTTCCTTTCAATAAGAACAGGTCATACCTGGGTGATCTCTCAAACATGAGATCATACTTTGTAATCAATCACCTTGTGCCCCATGAATGTATGCTGATTGTGGTCTTTCTCTATAAAAAGAGAGCCTAAACCCTTTGAGGGGTGTGCAGCTTTCCCCGAGATTGCTGTCACCCGATGCACTTGTTCAATAAACACCTCTTGCTTGTTGCATCTCCTGGTTTTGGTGTTTGTGTCACAGGGCTCTCCCACTGGCCCATCAGGACCCCAGAATTAGGGTCCAACAATGCGCCACCACCGCCCGGCTTGTTCACAGATTTATCTCTTTATTCCAGCTTCTTCATCTTCATCCACAGGTCACTGTAAAGCATCTGATTCCGAAAAGCACCCCAACTCCCAAAGGTCGGAATTTCGACAAAGCCATACAACTCAAAAACCTTTTCCCACTTAACGCCAATACCGGTGCGCAAGAATTTTACAGAGTCGCGCGCAGCGGTGCATGCTGGGTGATGTAGTCCTGGGCCTACCACGTCGCCTTGGGGACTTGTAGTCTTCAGTCAGGTAACTAGAAAGGTCAACTTAGAACAGTCATAAAGGTAAAAGTGACCTACGGAATCACTCAGCTTCCAAGTCGTCCGGCAAGTCCTTCAGGCTCTCAGCGGAAGAGGCTGTAGGCGGGTCCCAGAAAAGAGTGATGACGTTAAAGGGATATGGGCGTGGCCGTCTGTGAGCGTTTGGCGGGATTTCTGAAAGTCGCGCGTCGCTGTGCCAAGTACGCGCAGACCGCTTCCTGGTCAAAGCCGTGGTGTCTCCGGAAACGCGGCGGGAAGGCTGAAATTTGCTCCTGTTCTTCATAGAAGACCCGACAGAGGAGCTGCGAAGTGGGTTCGGGCGGTGACGGCGATTCTTGTGACGTGTGCAGACCCAGCCGCCTAAGGAGCGCGCGGCCCACGGCTGCGGGACGGGTGAGTGAGCGCGGGCGGTCACTCCCTGCCGCTCGGGATCTTCAGCGGAAGAAGGCCAGTGCTCCCATGGCCAGCCTGGGAGTCCCCTCAGCTGAGAAACGCAAGGGTGGCGGAGCCGGGCATCTGCCTGGGGCCAACCGACCGACGCTGATTGACTGAGCTCGTGGAGAAAACCAAACCCTACTTCAGGCTTTTGTTTTGAGACCTGGTTCACTTCCTAGGCCAGGCGGGGCTGGAATTCCTGCCTTAGTTTCCCAAATGTTAGAATTACAGATTTCCATGTTCATTTCTGTGGCCGGACGCAGAAAGCCAAAAACCTGAGATAAGTGCCCACAGCTGTTAAATATTAGGGCCAAAAGGGCCAAAGCTAATAGATTCTTGGTTACTGTGGGTTGTTTATTTTTTGGAAGTAGAGCCTAGTGGTTGGTACCAGTGATTTCTGGAGACTGAGGTGGGAGTTCAAAGATTGCGTGAACAGAATAAAGACTAAAAGTGCAACACAAATTTCTAAAGAGCCCTAGCTAGATGACTCACACCTGTCCTATCTATAATTCTAGAACATGAGAGGAGAGGCAGGAGGATGGCATTTTCAAGGCCAACCTGAACTACTTATGAAGTGCATGTTGCAGGAAAAAAGTGAAGTAGGTGGGCTGGAGAGATGGTTCAGCCATTAAGAGCACTTGTTGCTCTTGCAAAGGACTTGAATTCAGTTCCCAGCACCCACATGAAACCAGCAGCCGAAACTCTAGTTCCCGAGGATCCAGTACTTTCTTCTGACCTCCAGTCACCAAGCACCTTGTAATACACACATATACTCATGCACAAAAATAAATCTGAAAAGAACTTTCAAAAAATAGTAGTAAAGTGAAGTATAAAATACAAAATCCACAAATGAGTATACATGAATTATTACAAAATGAATATATCTGTGTAATCACCAAGTAAAAAAATCAAATGTTGTCATCATTTTAAAAATCTGTTATTCCTTGTCTAATATTTCCCCCTCACCCTAATGGCTAAAGAGTGATTTCTAATACTGTTCACTAACTTCGCCTAGTTTTACAAAACCTTATTTAGGCAGGGTCTGACTTCATAACCCAGAAACCGGTCTGGAACTCTGGTTCCATTTGTTTCTACTAGGTTCTATTTTACATACCAACCCAACCATCCCCACAACAGATCAAACCATGTCACTGTCACCCACATTCAGAGGTTCCCCAGCTGTCAGTTCATAGTCCATGAGCTCCCATTAGCTCTGGTCAGCTGACTCTGGTTTTCCCCATCATGCTCTTGACCCGCCTTGTTCATATGCTCTCTGCTCCCTCCTCCCTCTCTTCAACTGTACTTTTTTGCTTTTTAAAATTTATTTTTTTATATAGTGCTCTTTCTGCATGTATACCTTTATGCCAGAAGAAGGCATCAGATTTCATTACAGATGGTTGTGAGTCACTATGTGGTTGCTGGGAATTGAACTCAGGACCTCTGGAAGAGCTGCCAGTGCTCTTAACCTCTGAGCCATCTATCCAGCCTTGTTTTTATTTATTCATTTATTTATTTTTGATTTAGGATCTTAGCCCAGGCTGACCTTGAACTCCATGTCCTGATTCTGCTTCCCTAGTGCATCTTTGCCTGTTTTGTGTAAATATACCAGTAGTAGTGAATGTTTAATTGTTCCACATGCTTGCCAACACTTGGTTTTTATGGTGGGTATTTAATAATATCTTCTGAACTTTGGAGTGGGTGTGGAAGCTTCTTTTTGAGATAGTCTTATTATGTAGCCCAGCCAGTCCTTGAACTTGTGGTTTTAATTTTCTTGGTTACTGATGAGATTGCATGTTTGTTCATGGTTTTTTGTTGTTGTTGTTGTTGGTTGTGGAGATACCTTCCTCTTTAGTTGTCTGATTTCTTTTATCCTTTTTTTTTTTTTTTTTTTTTTTTTTGTTATCAAAGAAGTTCTTTATGTTTGTATTCTGATTATCCACCTCAGATTATCTATGTGGCAAAATTTTTTCTACTGTTAGGATTTGACCTTTCATGTTCTTGATGTCTTTGGTGGGTAGAAGTTTTACTTTTATTTATTTATTGAAACAGGATTTTAGGTAATCCAGGCTAACCTCAAATTTGCTATATAACAGAATGACCTTGAATTTTTTTTTCTTTTACTTTTTTTTTTTTTTTTTAAGATTTATTATGTATATAGTGTTCTGCCTGCATGTATGCCTGCAAGTCAGAAGAGGATGTCAGATCCCATTACAGATGGTTGTGAGCCACCATGTGGTTGCTGGGAATTGAGCTCAGAACCTCTGGAAGAACAGCCATTGCCCTTAACCCCTGAGTCATATATCTCCAGCCGATGACTTTGAATTTCTAATCTCCCTGCCTACCTCCTAAATGTTGGGATTACAGGCATGCCTACCATGTCTTGTTTTATGCAGTGCTTAGCATCAAACCCAAGGCTTCATGCATGGTATGCAAACATTCCACTAATTGATCTACATCCCAAGGCTTAAAGTTTGTTTTACTAGTTATTTAACCTCTTCAGGGACCTGAATTCCATCTTTGGTGCTGAAAATAAAATATAGACAGTTTTTTATTTGCTTTGTGGTGCTGAGGGTTCAACTCAGTGCCTCACTCTTATGCTAGACAAGAATTTTACCACTTGCCATATTTCTAGCCTGTATTTTCCTATTAGATTGTTGTTGCTTTGTTTATCATTCTAAGAACATAAAAATATTCTGGGCTGGGGAGATGGCTGCTTTTCCAAAGGACCCAGGTTCAATTCTCAGCTCATATCTGTCTGTAACTCCAGTTCTGACACCCTCACACAGACATAAATGCAGACAAAACACCAACCAATACACATAAAAATAAATAAAATTAATAGTAAAAAAGAAAATACTCTGTTTTGAAATTTTACTCACTATGTAGTATGGGGAAGGCTTGGAACTTGCTGCCTTGTAAAAATACATCTTTTTTAAAAAATCTGTTTGAGTAAGTTATCCTTGGCTGCATAGCCCACAGCTGTAAGTTGCACACACCTGACTTTTTAAAGCTTATTTTTTATGTATATGAATGTGTTGCCTCTGTCTGTAAGCACTGTGTCCAGTGCCTGCAATTAGAGTTATGGACAGTTATGAATTTCCATACGGGTGCTGAGACCTGAACCCGGATCCTCTTTAAGAGTAACCGTTGCTCTTTACCTGTGGATAGGGTTTGTTGGAAAACTAAATGTGCAGTTCTTCATTAACCAAGAGTATTTGTCTAGTGTTCATTCATACTGATGCCTATCTGTATTTTTTAGTAATGGCTATGCAGATGCAGCTTGAAGCAAATGCAGACACTTCAGTGGAAGAAGAAAGCTTTGGTCCACAACCTATTTCACGATTGGAGGTATGGTCTTAGTTGCTAAGTATTTACTTACAATGTTATAATACATTCTTCTATGTAATGAAACAAATTTACATTTACAGAAATTAGATTGGAGTTTCAGGAGGTGGTCAGTGTAATATATTTTTTTATTCTACATATCAATCCCAGTTTCCTCTCCCTCCCATGTCCCTCACCAACCTCCCCCATCCCATCCCCCTCCGCTCCCCAGAGAGGGTGAGGCCTTCCATGAGGGATCATCAAAATCTGTCAAGTCATTTGGGGTAGGGCCTAGTCCTTCCCCTGTGTCTGTAGGCTAAGGGAGTATCCCTCGATGGGCTCCCAAAGTCCGTTCTTGCACTAGGAATGCATCCTGGTTCCACTGCCAGAGGTCCCATAGACTGCGGTCAGGTCTCTTTGACAGTTTTCATCCTACTCTGTTTTCTCCCTAAGAGCTGAACTTTAGAAACAAGGGTTTGGGATCCCATGGTGGAATCTCAATGCTGCTTACACTAAGTATAAAAATGTTGCCCAGGGAATTAGTGTTGTTACCCAGGAATGCATGTAGGAAAAGGGGAACAGCTTCTCTCCATTGGCTCAGGTGAAAGATGCTACTGAGAAGGCTATTGTAAGGCAGGTTGAAGGGTGTAGGTCGTTAAGATATAAGACCCAGCTCTATTTTAAGACTCAACATTAAGAATATTAAGCATTCATTACCTGGGTGTGGTGGCTCACATCTATGATTCTAGCATTTGGAAAGCTGAGGCATGAGCCCACCCTGGTCTACATAGCAAGTTCCAGGACAAAAAGGGTTGCATAGTGAGACCTGTCTCAAAAACAAACAAGCCATAAAAAAGCAGCAAAACAAACAAGAGGCTTGGGGAGATGCTCTTCGTGTAAAGTCTGTGTCATGCAAACAAAGAAGACTGAGTTTGGATCCCAGCCAGACAGAGTGGCGGATGCCTGTAACCTTAGCATGGAGGCAGTGGAGACAGGGGGACCCTTGGGGCTTCTTGGCCAGTGAGGCTAGTCAGTCAGAATCAGGTGTAGTAAGAGACCCTCCCTGTCCCAGAAGTAATGTTAAAGTGACCTGACTGAGGCAGATACTCAACATCGCCCCCTGGCCTCTTTGCATGGACACTCAAGCACACATGAGCATGTGGGCATACGACACACACAAAACTGGAGCAGAAAATTAGGTACTAATCTGTATAGGATTTCTTCAGGTTATACAAAGGTGGGAGGGAACACCTTGATCTACTGTCTTTGTTTATATACTTTCCCAATCTACCCAAACTTTAAGACTTTGGAAACTACTTAAATGAGCTGAGCTTGATGGCACTTTCTTCCGTGTTGGAGCAAAAAGAATCAGGAGTTGTCGGTTACCCTTTGCTCCTGTCAGGACTGGGCTGCATGAAGCCCTCTCTCTAACTTTGTGGCACTGCTTCTCCCCTTCCATCTTTACTTCAGTGGGGTTGTGATCATCCTTCAAAGTCCATGGTTACAATGTTTAAGATTATTTGTGTGTATTCATACAAGCCCACATGGGTGCTCAATAACCAAGGAGGACAGGAGGGGATGTCAAATCTATTGGAACTGGAGTTAGCGGTGGTCATGAGCCACCACGCCTGGCTGCTGGGAACTGGATTCCAGTCCTCTATAAGAGCAACAAGCACTCCTAACCATTGAGCCATCTCTCCAGCCTTCATAATGTTTTGTTTAAGATTAATTTATTAATTTTTTAATGGGAAGATGCAATACATTTTCCACCAAGTAATTTTACAATAGGACCTTTAAAGGCTCTGGGGCTAGGTGTGTACAATCCAAATTTAATATATTGAAATGAAGATTTATTAAGGTAATGGTGCTAGCTAAACAGCTTTAGTCCCTAGCTCTTCATTATAAATACACAAAATTATTATTATTTCTAACAGGTTGTATTGTCTCGAGATTATTTGATTCATCTTACTGGGGTTTTTTTTTTTTTTGAGACAGGATCTTACTATGTGCCTTGGCTGGCCTGGAACTCACTATGTAGAGCAGGCTGGTCTCAAACTCATACAGATCCACCTGCCTCTGCTAGAATCCTCCTCTGGCCCCAGATTTATTTGTTTCTGTATTAATGGATGTGCTGGCTGGTTTTATGTCAGTTTCACAGAGCTATAATAACTGAGAGGAAAGAACCTTAATTGAGAAAATGCCGCCAGAAGATCAAGCTGCAGGCACCTTTGTGCTGCATCAGTTCTTTCCTCCAGGTCCTTGTCCCTGTTTGAACGCTGTCCTGACTTTCTTCAGTGATAAACAGTAATGTGGAGGTGTAAATCAAGTAAACCCTTTCCTCGCCAAGTTGCTTTGGTCATATATAATAACCCTAAGACATTGTGTATGAATGTTTTGCCTGCATGTATGTGTATCCACCACGCGAATGGCTGGTGTTTATGGAGATCAGAAGATGGCATGAGATCCTCTGGAACTGGCATTACCAGGTAGTGTGAGATGCCAAGTGGGTTCTGGATACTGAACTTGAATCCTCTGCAAAAGCAACAAATGCTTTTAACCATTGAGCTACCTCTACAGACCCCACCCCCATGTTTTCAATGCTTTTGTTTTTCCTTTTTAGTAGTCCTAGGTTTTGAACCTGGGGTTCTGGCATTCAAGGCAAATGTACTGGTTAGTTTTTAATCAACTTGACACATCTGGAAAGAGAAAACCTCAACTGAGAAAATGCCAGTTGCCAAGTCTGTGGGGCATTTTCTTAATGATTGGTGTGGAAGGGCACTGTGGGTGGTATCACCCCTGGGCTGATGGTCCTGGGTTGTATGCAAAAGCAAACCGAGGCCTGGCGGTGGTGGTGCATACCTTTAATCCCAGTACTCAGGAGTCAGAGGCAGCCTGGTCTATAGAGCAAGTGCCAGCATGGGTTCCAAAGCCACAGAGAAACCCTGACTCAAAAAACAAAAACAAAACAAACAAACAAAAAAAACCACACACACACACACGCGCGCGCGCGCGTGCGCACGCGCGCCAGTAAGCATTCCAAGTCTTTGATGTAATTCAAATTAATAAATGACCCAGAGACTAATATTTGAGTTCAAGCTGAAGATCAGGGAAGCAAAGCTTTTACATCTAACAGGGCTGGGACGTGCCTGTTCTCAATGTGGCTGAAAAATGAATGCCTGATATTGACCTTGCTCCTGACTTATATACCTCCTTAATTCTGGGCTTAAAGTGTTATCCCATTTGCTGGGATCAAAGGCATGAGTTGTTTCTCTTTAGGACTGGATATATCTTGTGTAGATCTGGGTGGCCTTGAACTCAGAGATCTGTCTACCTCTTAATCCTGAGTCCTCGGATTAAAGGTGTGTGCCTGGCTTCTGTTGCTTGTTGCTGACTTTGCTTTCTGAATCTTTAGGCAATCTTTAACAAATCATATCACTACAATTCCCCTTTTGTCTTAATACAAAAAGAAGGCTACAACTAATATAAGAAAAACTATATACTGTAAGAACAATAAGTACATACAGGCAATAAGTTTGTCAACAATGTCCATTTGCATTTGACAAGTTCAGAGAAAGTATCTAGTCCACTTTGACTCCTGCCCTGTCTTCCCTCAGGGCAGATTATGTTGTAAACTGGAATAAACACTTTATCCCCAAGTTGCTTTTGGCTGTGGTGTTTATCACAGCAATAGACAGCAAACTAAGACAGCAAGTATTACACTAATGAGCTTCATCCTTCAGCCTAGATACTTATTTTTTTAGTTTTGAGACAGGGCCTCATGCAGCCTATCATGGCCTTGATTTCTCTGTGTAGCTGAGGATAACCTTGATTCCTGATCCTTCTGATTTCACTTCTCAGATGTTAGGATTTTAGGCATATACCAGCATAGCTGTTTTTGTTTGTATTGTTTTATTTTTTAGATTAGTTTTATTATTTTATGTATATAAGTGTTTAGTTTTCATGAATGTGTGCATCACCTATGTGCCTAGTGCCCTCAGAGGACAGAAATGGGCATCATATCCTCCTGGAACTGGAGTTACAGGCAGTTGTGAGCCACCATGTAGGTGCTAGGAACCCAGGCTGGTCCCAAAGTCATTGTGTTGCTGAGATATATGCTACCATGCCAATTTCCCATATCTCCCTTTTGGGGGTGATTTTTAAATTAGCATATGTTAAGTATATATAATTTATTTTGATCATAGTCACCTCTGTTACCTCCACATGTCACCATCCTACTGATCCCTTTTTTCTTTACAGCCAGTCTCCTTTCTTTCATGTTTTAGCTTGTTTTATTGACCTAGTGAGTTTAATTAAGGTTGTTTACATGAGTTTGGGCAAGGGTTTATTTACTGGGATAAAGGCAGTTATCAATGGCTATGTTGCTGAAGAAAATGTCTTCTCTTTTCTCTAGTAACCATTGGCTACAAATAGCTTCAGGGAGATAGGGATTGAGGCCTAATGATCCTTAACCATTTTTCCTGTTTACAATTATTATTTATTGTGGTGGGATGCATATGAATTGCAGCACACCTGTAAAGGTCATAGGACAGCTTTCCTACCATCATAGGATTAGGGTTTGAACTTGGATCATCAGGCTTAAAGGCAATCAGTCACTCATACCCACTTCTGTTTTATATGTATGAGTATTTTTGCTTGCATGTATATTAGAATATGTGTACATGTCAAAGGAAGGTTCCAATCCCCTGGAATTAGCATTAGTGATAGTTGTGAACTGCCTTGTAGGTATTGGGAACCCACCCTGGTCCTCTGCAAGAGCAGTCAGTGCTCTTAATTGCTGAGCCATCTCTCGAGCCTCCCATTTTCTCTATCCTTAATGTCAGTTGTGAGAGCAGAGCTCTCTAGTCATACTCTGAAGCAGTATTATCTGTTTGCCTAGCATTAAGTAAAATAACAATTTCTATGTGGAAAGCATTGGAAAACACTGGTTTAAAATTGTTTGGGGGCTCAGGATACCAAAGGTCATTTCGAGTCATTGTACAAAAAGTTAGGAGTTATTAGTTGTTTGGTTTGGTTTTGGTTTTTTGAGATGGGGCTTCTCTGCATAGCCCTGGCTATCCTGGAACTCGCTGTGTAGACCAGGCTGGCCTAGAACTCGAGGTCTGCCTGCCTCTGCCTCATGTTTGCTGGCATCAAAGGCATGTACCACCATACCCTGCTACTAATTTAATCTCAATTTCTAAGTCCGTTTTAACATGCTTTAACATAGTGCTAGTTAAAAACTGTGTGTGTGTGTGTGTGTGTGTGTGTGTGTGTGTGTGTGTGTGTGTGCGCGCGTGCGCGCGCGCGCGCACGTGCGTGCTAGTATGTATGTATATGGGAGCCAGAGGTCAACTGCAGTATTTGTTCCTTGGGAGCCATCTACTACTTCTTCTTCTTTTTTTTTTTTTTGTTTGTTTGTTTGTTTGTTTTGTTAGTTTGTTTTTAGATACACACTTTCACTTTGCTCTAGAGTTGGCTGGTTAGGCTAGGCTGCCTGGCTAATGAGTCGGGGACCTAAGTGTCTCAGTCTCCTCAGGGTAATAGCGAACACTATCTCCCTAGCCCAAAACTTAGTTTTGATGATGAAAAAGTGTGTAGCTTGTTATTTAATAATTCATATGTAGACAAGCTTTTTAGAGGTTTTGCATGTATTAGTGGTCTTCAAATACCTCTCTAGGTTGTACTTTCCATTTTAGACAAGAGGCCTAAGTTACCCATTGTTTTCTTACAGCAATGTGGCATAAGTGCCAATGATGTGAAGAAATTAGAAGAAGCTGGTTTCCATACAGTGGAGGCTGTTGCTTATGCACCAAAGAAGGAACTCATAAATATTAAGGGAATTAGTGAAGCCAAAGCTGACAAAATTCTGGTAAGTATAGCTATGTGATGATGGGGAGGGCAGACGTATTAGTGAGAATAATTACTGCAAAGCGGTTGTTTGCTGTTGCCGGGTCCTGACCATTGCGGGTGGGGAAAGGAGACATCAGTGACACAGGAACAAGTTGAAACAACAGGCTCACTTTATTTCAGGAAGGGGTTAGCCTTATATACCTCCAACTCTGCCCCAGGGGGTGGATCCACTGCTGAGGATGTGGTACTGTCCATAGGTCTACGTCATCTTTCGTCAGACTTGCTGCTGTTGTCAAGGCCCTCTGGCAGACCCAGGCTGGCTGTCAGGAAATATCTACCGTGCATGCTCTTACTGTCTGTCTGGGCCGGCTGTCAGACCCATTAAGGCGTAGTTATCCCACCGTTTGCCTCTTTCATTCTCTTGTCATCTTTCTAGAAGTGACTGTTGGCAATTTTTGTTTGTTTTTCAAGACAGGATTTCTCAGTGTAACAGCTATCCTCAAACTCACGGGGATGCGCCTGCCTCTGTCTCCCGAGTGCTGAGATTAAAGGCATTGCCACCACTGCCCGGCTGTTGGGAGTTTTAATCTTAAATTCAGATTTCCTGTAGAGAATTACAATATCATGGAGTTTGATACAAATACTGATTAACATTCCCACTAGAAGTGATTGGTGTGCACCTTATCATTTTGAATATGATCTATCCTCATAAAATTTTTCCCTTTTAAAATTATTGTGTTTTATGTGTGTGTATGAGTGCTTTGCTTACATGTTTGTCTGTGCCTCACATACATGCCTTCAGAGGCTAAAAGGGCGTTACATCCCCTGGAACTAGAGTTACAGATGTTTGTGAGCCAACATGTGGGTGCTGGGAATCAAACCTTGGTCTTCTGGTAGTACAACAAGTGCTCTTAACCACTGAGACATTTTTCCAGACCCTAAAATATGTTTATTACGTATGTAGCCACTAAAACAATTTAGAATAATAGTGATGTCACACCATTAGGTGCAAGCCTGTAGTTCAAACAACTGGGGAGTCTGTGACAAGAAGTTGGAGGCCAGACTCTTTCATCAAGGCCAATTTGGGTAACTTATTATAGTGAGAACCTGCCTCAAAGTAAAAAGAGACTGGGTATATAGCTCAGTGGAAAGTACTTGCCTGTTACTGGTTTAATAAAAAGGTGAATGGCCAATAGCTAGGCAAGATTTGCAGGCACAGAGCATGGGGAAGGGTGGAGACCCTAGGAGTCGCCAGCCAACTGAGAGGAAACAGTCATGAAGGAGGAGAGGTAAAGCCACAAGTCACATGCAGTTGATGAATAGAAGTGGGTTAATTTAAGTTAAAAGAGCTTGACTACGTAATTGGCTGAGCTAAGTCTCTGTGCCATTTTTTGTGAGTTGGTGGCCCAAAGAAAAATCCATTTATATGTATATGTGCATGGTATGTATGCTTGGTGTCTGCAGCAGCCATAAGAGCATGTCTGATTCCCCCTGGAAGTGAAGTTAAAGATATTTGTGAGCCCCCATGTGGGTGTTGGGAACCAAACCTAGTCCTCTACAAGAACAGCAAGTCTCTTAGAGCCATCTCTCGCCTATGTCCTTTTTTTTTTTTTTTTTCATTATAATTTCCTGACATGTACATTTTCCATAATAAATAGGTTTTACTTTCTTCAGGCAGTGGTGGTGCACACCTTTAGTCCCAGCACTTAGGAGGCAGAGGCACAAAGAGCTCTATGAGTTCAAGGCTGCCAGCCTGGTTTATAAAGCTACACACAGAAACCCCATTAAAGTCCTATATTAAGTTCCAGTGTGTATGCTCTATAGCTTCAAAAGCATGTGCTGCTACTACCACATCCCCATTTGTTTTATTTTTTATTTTAAATATATGTATTATGCATATGTGTGTGTGTGTGTATATATATATATATACACACACACATATCAAATGATAGGTATTTTTGTTGGTCTGGGTGGAACATAGCAACACTTGGAAGGCTGAGGTAGAAGGATTGCCTAGAATTTAGATTTATCCTGGGCCACATAGTTCCAGGTAGGTTTAGGGTGCAGAAGGACACATTGTCTTTAAAAAAAAAAAAAAAAAAATAGAAAATAACATTTAGGTGTGGTGATAGGCACCTGTAACCTCAGCACTCAGGAAGCTGAGACGGGAGAGTTGTGAGTTAGAGAAAGCTTGCTATATACAAGATCCTGTTTCAAAACTACACAAAATAAAAACCACTGATGTTATTAGTATCTTAGCTATATAATTCACTCACCCTGTTTGAAAATAGTATTTAAAGCTTTCAATACTATTAGATTTTTGTTTTGTTTTAATTTTTGTTGTTGCTGCTGCTGTTATTGTTTAGACAGGGTCTAATGTAGCTCAGGCTGGCCTCAAAGTCAAGGTAACTAGAAACAATTTGAGCTGCTCATTTTCCTGTTTCTGCCTCCCTGGTTCTGAGAGTACAAGGGTCCACCATCATGTCTGTTTTTATACACAGCTGGAATGAGCCCAAGGCCGCATTCGAGCCAGGTGAGTACTCTACTAACAGAGTCACATTCCCATCCTGTCTCTCAAATCAACCAGGAGTAGTAGCACAAGAGGTGATTTGAGGTATACAAAATAATGTAGACTTAGATGTCATTATTCTATCACCTTTGCTTGTAGGCATATATGAATTTCAGGTTGGCAATAATTATGGTTTTACTTGATTTTTCACAATAGAAACTCTTGAAAATGTATGATTGACAATATTGAAACTTTAGAGAAGTAATTATATTTTTAGTACACCATTTAGTTTTATAGTAAATTATGTTTACAAAGTAAAATGTATACATTTTAGAGAATGTATAACTGAAGTATTGGATATACTTTTATATAGAAAAGTTTAAAAAAATAATACTAGTTGGACAGTGGTGGAACATGCCTTTAATCCTAGCACTTGGGATGGGGCAGAAGAAGGTAGATTTGTGCACGTAAGTCCACCCTGGTCTACAGAGCAAGTTCTAGACAGCCAGTGCTACACAGAGAAACCCTGTCCTACCCCCCCCCAAAAAAAAGCAAAAAAGAAGAAGGAAGAAAATAATACTGATATATTTAAATGTCAGTGTGTGTGAGAACTTTTAAATGTACAAGTTTGGGGCTATGGGGATAGCTTGGTTTTTAAAGTGCTGTCATAAAAGCATGAGAACCTGCATTCAATCTCTAATACACAAAAAGCCATGTAAGCCAGTATGCATTTGTGGAGATGAGGAACCCCAAGGTCCAGGGGCCAGCCAGCATATCCTAATCGGTAAGTCTCGGTTCCAGTAAGAGACCCTGTCGTAGGTGGTGCACTCCTTTAGCCCCATCATTTGTGAGGCAGAGGCAGAGGCAGGTGGATCTCTGAGTTTGAGACCAACCTGGTCTATAAGAGCTAGTTCCAGGACAGTCTCCAAAAGCTACACAGAGAAATCTTGTCTCAAAAAAAAAAAAAAAAAAAAAAAAAACCAATGTGGAAGGACTGCTGGAGAGGTTGCTCAGTGGTTAAAAGTATATACTCATCTTACAGAGGGTCTGAGCTTAGTTCCCAGAACCTATGTCAAGTATCTTACAGCTTCCTGTAAGCACACACACAGATAACATGTACAAATACTCTGGTTTTTTTTTTTTTTTTTTTTTTTTTTTTTTTTTGATGGCTATCAATATACCCTTTTTTGGCCTCAGGGCAGATATGTGATAGTTTGGAACACTTCTGCCAAGTATAAGATCACTCGCCAAAATAAATCCTACTCCTTTTTTATTTTTTAATTTTTATTTTATTATTTTTTTGTATGTAGGTGCTTTGCCTGCATGTATGTTTATGTGCCCATTTGTGCTGTGCCCACAGATATAAGCATGACAGGGTCCCACTCCTCTGAGCCCCAAATAAACACACAAAAACTTTTATTATGAAACTGTTGGCTGGTGGCTTGGACTTCTTATTGGTTAGCTCTGTCTTAATTGTTAACCCATAACTACTAATTTATGCATTTCTGTAGTGTATTTCTACTTTAGACTAAAAGGGGCTGGAGAGATGGCTCAGTGGTTAAGAGCACTGGCTGCTATTGGAGAGGATCAAGGTTCGATTCCTAGCACATATGGTGGCTTACAACTGCCTATAACTCCACAGATGCCACCCGGATGCTCTCTACAACTTGACCAGGAAGCAAGAGAGCAAGCTGTGGTCCAGGACCCCAGACCTAGCCTTCCCCATCACATCCACACCTGTGCCCACGCCCAAATGGGTGTGGTCAGTGCAACAGGTGCTTTACAGGGTGGATATCTCACTACATATTTCTATGTTGTGTGTCCTCTCTTCCAGGGTTCACATCGAGACTCCTTTCTGTGTACACTTCCCAGAATTCTCTTCGTCTGATAGCCCTGCCTATCCTTCCTGCATGTCCACAGGCCAAACAGTGTTTTATTCATTAACCAATAAGAGAAACGTATGTAAGAAAGGCAACCCTCATCACACAGAGGCCAGGGGAAGGCATTAGATCCTCTGGAACTGGAGTTACAGATAGTTGTGAACTGCTATTTGAGTTGTGGGAATTGAACTCGGGTCCTCTGGAAGAGCAGACAGTGCTATTAGCCATTGAGTCCATCTATGCAGCCCCAAAATCCTACTCTTTACTCACATGAGAATTTAATAGTGGAGCTTTTTTGTTTTCTTGGACTAGTAAGATAGCTGATTGATTCTTTTTCATACTTAAGCAAAACCTATAGGTATCTGAACATAGAAATGACAGAAGTATTGGAAGAGAAAAGGAAATTGAAGCTGGACATGGTGGTACATCCCTTTAATCTCAGAGACAGGAAGCAGAGAAAGGTGCTTTTCACTACTGAACCATCTCTCTTGAAACAAAGATATATAGTTTTATTGTCCCATTAAAACTAATTTTTTTTCCTACCAATAGTACAGCTTTTGTTGCTCGCATGAGATATAAATGTTATTTGTATATGCTTAGAAAAAATAATTTGTCATGTATTGTTTACTTTTGTTCTGCCTTATATTAGTAGATTCTTTGGTTATTCACATAAATAATAATCTTGAACTTTGTAAATGTTTATATGCTAAGCCATATCATTAAACAATCAAGTGTTGGGTGTTTTGGTTTTTTTTGGGTTTTTTTTTTTTTTGGTTTTTTTCAAGACAGGATTTCTCTGTGGCTTTGGAGGCTGTCCTGGAACTAGCTCTTTTAGACCAGGCTGGTCTCAAATTCACAGAGATCCACCTGCCTCTGCCTCCCAGGTGCTGGGATTAAAGTTGTGCACCACCAACGCTCAGCAAACAATCAAGTGTTTAAAAATAGAAAATATGGGGCTGAAAAGATGACTCAATAGTTAACAGCATTGACTGTCCTTCAGAAAACCCAGGTTCAATTCCCAGGACCCACATGGCAGTTCACAACTGTAACTCCCAAGATCTGATACCTTCACACAAACATACCTGCAGGCAAAATACCAATAAAATAAAATAAATTATTAAAAACAAAAACAGACAAGGTGGTAGTGGCCCACACCTTTAATGTCAGGAGGCAGAGGCAGGTGAATCTCTGAGTTCTAGTCCAGCCTGGTCTACAGAATGAGTTCCAGAACAGATAAGACTACACAGAGAAACCCTCTCTCCAAAAAATAAAAACAAAACAAAAAATGTGTACCTGATAGGGATGAAGAATTAAACATAAATTGAGAAAAGTCTGGAATGGCATATGTCTTGTTTTGCAAGGCAGAATGTTAAAGGATGGCAGAAGAGAAAATAAGGTATAAAGACATATTACATTGGGCTGGAGAGATGGCTCAGAGGTTAAGAACACTGGCTGCTCTTCTAGAGGTCCTGAGTTCAATTCCAAGCAACCATGAGGTGGCTCACAACCATCTATAATGAGATCTGGTGCCCCCTACAAGTCTGCAGGTGGAATACTGTATATATAGTAAGTGAAAGTAGATCTTTTAAATAAAAGACATTACATTGTCACAAAATAGATAAGTCACATATGTTAAAGTTCTTTTTTAAAAGCTCCTGTGGTGTTGCACTCCTGTCATTCCAGCACACAAAAGTTTTCTTGTCGTGTGCCTGGGCTTGTCTTAATTATACACGTAGATTGATCATCTCTATTGCAAAAATAAGAGGTGAAATATGCAGAAGTCTGAAATTTTTTATCAGAAACCTCAAACTCAAGAAGTTTCAGATTTTGGAATATTCAGTGAATTTTCAGTGAAGGATGTTCAATTGATAAAGTCTATCCCAGTACTCCAAAATCTACAAAAGTCACAGTCTAAAGCATTTTGGGTCCCAACTTTTCCAGATACTGGTTTCTTTATCTGTTACGTTATTGGTTTAATTTTTCTTATTTTTCCTAGGCTGAGGCAGCTAAATTAGTTCCAATGGGTTTCACCACTGCAACTGAATTCCACCAAAGGCGTTCAGAAATCATTCAGATTACTACTGGCTCCAAAGAGCTCGACAAACTGCTTCAAGGTATAGTAGTCTCTTATCCTATTCTATAAACCCTAACTACAACAGCTTGTAAGTCAGAAGAAATTCGAGTGTTAATGTACAATTCATGTGAGATGTGAGTATGATGTCAAGAAGTATAAATAGTAGATTTCTTCAAGGCCTTGCTGATTTGCGGGGGGGGGGGGTGTTGAGACAGGGTTTCTCTGTATTGCTTTGGAGTCTGTAGACCAGGCTAGCCTCGAAATCACAGATATTCGCCTGCCTCTGCCTCCCAAGTGCTAGGATTAAAGGTTTGCACCACCAACGCCTGGTGACTGGCTGATTTTGTAGGTTTGTGTTTGTACAATTTTTTTAGTTTAGGATTTTGTCTTGTTTTTTTTTTTTTTTTCTTTGTTTGTTTGTTGGCTTATGTTGTCAGATTGCAGGCTCATTTGAATGTATTGTGGATTATAGGAATGCCAACTTTCTCATAAGTGATACATTATAGTTTGGAAAGATGTTGCCAGTGGAGGAGGCTAGGTGAAAAGTACCTAGAGCTTCCCTGTACATTTCTTTGTAACATTCTATAAATCTAACATTTTTTTTTTCTTATTTTTGGTGGTTTTAGGAATTGAGTCAGGACCAAGGATGTCCTTTAATTCTTGGTCTTCCTGCCCCTACTCCCCGAGTGCTAGGATCTGAGATATAAGCATTAGTCAGTCATGCTGGCTCTGCTTTAGAAAGTACTAAAATTGCCTGTAAATTAAATAACATTTGGTTTGGTTTTGAAACAGTGTCTCACTTTGTAGCTCTGGCTATAAATTAAATAATTTAATCTTTGTTACTGTATTTAGAGCATAAGTTCCCTCTGCTTAAGGAATAAGTATGAGTGTGTGTATTTTTTTTTATTATTATTCTAATGTAAGATGGACATATGATGACTGGTTAAATACAATGGAGGAAGGCAGAAAGATAGCTCGGCAAGTGGTTGCCTCACAACTTTGATGACCTGAGTTAGAACCCTTTAATCCACAGAAGAAGGAGAGAACCCACTGCACATGCCTACCCACACTCACACACATCATACACACAGTACTGATAATAACAAAAATTTAAAAACAAGGGCATTGGTAGCGAATACCTTTAATCCCAACACTCAGGAGGCAGAGGCAGGCAGATCTCTGTGAGTTTGAGGCCAACCTTGTCTACAAATCGAGTTCTAGGGTTGTTACACAGAGAAACCCTGTCTCAAGAAACCAAAAGAAAAAAGAAAATGGGAGTTTTATGGGAATATCCATGTTGTTCAAGAACATTCGTGATTATATTTTCTGAACAGTATTTTATGTGAGGTGCTTTTGGCTTTCATAGGTGGAATTGAGACTGGATCTATTACAGAGATGTTTGGAGAATTCCGAACCGGGAAGACACAGATCTGTCATACATTGGCTGTAACATGCCAGGTGAGTTGTTGGAATTTGGGTTAATCAGATTAGCAGGCATTGGTTGACTCATGATATCTGCATGCATCTGTTAGGATGGACATAAAAGGTACTTTCTCTAGAATCCCATAGCAAGTTAGAAGATATTTCCTACTGAGAATCATTCCACATCATAGAAAGTTCCAAATGATTGATTCGAAACATTTTCTTACCATTTTTTCTGGATTTACCTGCCTTTCTTCATTGGTCTAATTGTATAGATGTATGTATGGGTGGTCTGCTTGCATGCATGTCTATGTGCCATGTTCATGTCTGGTATCTTCAGAGACCACAAAAGGCACCAAACCACTACCACTACCACCATCCCAAACAGGAGTTAACAGTAGTTGTGAACCACCATGTGGGTGCTGGAAATCAAACTTTGGTCCTCTGGAAGAACAGCCACTGCATTTAACTGATAAGCCATGCTCCCTAAGCAGTCTACACTTTATGTCTTTAAAAAAAAAAAAAAAAAAAAAAAAAATGGGTGTAACAACTTGATGTCTCAAAAAAATGTATGACAATAATAACCTGACACAATTCTTAAACACAGTATCTGGTCCTATTAAATAGAAATGTCTTCTCTGTAGTTTACTTTGTGTATATGATACACATAGTGCATATCTGAAGGGATCAAAGGCATGCGCCACTACCACCCAGCCTTAACAAAGTCTTAGATAACAACCTTTTTATAAATATTCTAGGTGCTCAATAGCTGTAGATCTTTGTTATTTTTTTTCACAGAATGCTAATTCATTAATAGAATAATTACATATTAGTAGTCTAATAACTGGAATCAGAAATATGAGAGTATTAGCTCACTACTTAAATTAAAAAATTGTTATTATTATTCATATTTTCTTTAATGAAATGAAACTTCACTGTATTAGATCTCTAATAATTTGAGTTCTAGAACATCTCACATTTGTCCAAGAATAAATGTGTAAAGAATTTACACCATAGCATTATTAAAATAGTAAAAGTGATAAATAACATGCTTCTTTATAAAAACAAGAGAAATTTATAGTACTAAGTATTTAGGAAGAAACTTCTAACCTAGCCAACCATGATGGTGCACATTTACAATCCTGAAACTCAGGAGATCATGAATTTGAGATCAGCATAGGCTCTGCACTGAATTCTGTATTAAAGCACTACTAAAAACACCACCGGCCCTTGGGAGGCAGAGGCAGGTGGATGTCTGTGAGTTCAAAGCCAGCCTAGTCTACAGAGCAAGTTTCAGGATAGCCAGAGCTACACACAGAAACCCTGTCTTGAAAAACCAAAAATAGATAAATGAATGATGTTCGTATCTCCACCTTACTCCTTTGAGGCAGTCTCTCCCTGAACCTGGAACTCATGGGGGTTGTTTGTTTTTGCTAAACTGGCAGTCAGCAAGCTCATGTTCTGCCTCTGCTTCTCACAGTATTGGGATTACAAGTGCCTTTGAGCTACTATGCTCATGAAGGATGTGTATTTGTTTGTTTTGAGACAGTGTCTTACTTTGCCAGGGCTGATCTCAAATTACTACAGAGCTGACCTTGTACTGATCACTTCATGTGTGCTGACATCAGACATCTGTCCTATTAGGCAATCATGTCCTATTATCAAATGTTTGACATTTGAACTGACCAGTCTTAATGTGTAGTGCTTTGTTTTGGTTTTGGTGTTTTGAGACAGGGTTTCTCTGTGTAACTTTGGAACCTATCCTGGCACTTGCTCTGTAGACCAGGCTGGCTTTGAACTCACAGAGATCCTCCCACCTCTGCCTCCCAAGTGCTGGGATTAAAGGCCTGTACCACCCAGCAATGTGTAGTTTTATCTCATACTTTGGGCTGTTTCAAAGCAGTACAACTCTGTCAGGCCACTGCTTTATGTGTTTCATGTCTGTTATCAACTTGTATTATGTCCTGTTGCCTCTGGTTGTCCTTTTTGTTTTGTTTTAATGTGTATGGGTGTTTTGCCTGTTCATGTATGTCTGATGCCCGTGAAGGCCAGAATAGTATGTGGATCCCCTGGAATTAGAATTGTTAGGGTTATGAGTCACCAACTGGGTTCTGGGAATGAACTTCTGGAAGTACAGGCAGTTCTCTTAACTGTGCAGCCATCTGTGTAGGCCCTGCTGATTTCTTTTTTTAAAGTATTTATGTTTAATGTACATTGGTGTTTTGCCTGTATGAAAGGCTGTATGAGGATGTCAGATCCCCTGGAATTGGAGTTACAGACAGTTGTGAGCTACTGTATTAAAGTGTTTTAGCCCTTATTTGGAGTGGAGGAAATTGGATTTATCATGGGGAACTAGGCAAACTATCAGAAGAGTGGTGGTTTCCATTGTTTCTTTTTTTCCGTCTAGCTTCCCATTGATCGTGGTGGAGGTGAAGGAAAGGCCATGTACATTGACACCGAGGGTACATTTAGGCCAGAACGCCTGCTAGCAGTGGCTGAGAGGTAGGTCACTAAATTAGAAGAATGTGTTTCACCTGTTATTAGAGTATTTAGGAATGTTAAATTTGTCCAGAAAATGTCTCATTACTCTACATCCCAGTTATGGGGTTTAAAAGAACAATATTAATAATGTAAGACATTTTTTACTCAACACTATTAAGTTCTCATGGGCTGAATAAAAAACAAGATCCAACTATATTTTGTCTTCCAGAGACCACTTTAAAGACAGGTTGAAAAAGATAACACATTCAGGAACCGTAAGAGAAATTAAAAGACTCCAGAAGACCCCCCTTGCCCCACCCCCTAAAAACTACTAAAGATGAAAAAAAAAACTCTTATTTTAATGTGTGTATTTGTATAGGCATAGACATGCCTGTGCATGGTGTACATTGGAGGACAGAGGACAATTTCTAGGAGTCAATTTCTCCCATCTACCACGTGAGCTCAAGTTGGGTGTCAATCTTTGAGCAATGTCATTTGCCCAGGGAGAACATTTATAATTAAATGATCTGTTCATCAGGAAGGCATGACAATTATAAACATAATTTAAGATTTATTTTCATTTTATATGTATGAGTATTGCCTGTGTGTATGTCTGTGTACTGTGTGCAAAGATTACATATGGAGGCTAGAAGAGGGTGCCAGATACTCTGGAACTAGAATTGTAAATGATTTTGAGCCAGGAGTTGGTGGTGATGCAAGTCTTTAATCCTAGCATATGGATGCAGAGACAGGTGAATCTCTTTGAGTTTGCAAAACAAAACAATAAATGCTTGTGAGCCACCGTGTGTGCTAGAAACTAAACCCAGGTCCTCTGCAGTGGCAGTAATCACCAATATCTTTTTGTTTGGGTTTGGTTTGTTTTTTTCTGAGACAGGATTTCTGTGTAGCCTTGGCTGTCCTGGTACTTGCTCTGTAGGCCAGGCTGGCCTTGAGCTCACATAGGTCTGCCTGCCTCTGCCTCCTGGGTGCTAAGATTAAAGGTATGCTCCGCCACCACCCAGCCCAATATCTTTAAATATCCAAGACTACATCACCCAATTGAAATTGTTTGGAATCTGTAAATCATGTCAAAATTCTAGCAAGTTTCGTTTCTTTTGTTGTTTTTGTTTTCAAATTGACAAACACATAAGACTTATGTAGAAAAATCAAGAGTTTCATTTATTTGGGGTGGGGGGAGGGTTTGTGGGCATGTATATCTGTGCACTATAGTGTGCCTAGTGCCTTCAGAAGCCAGAAGAGGGCACTGGATATTCAAAACTGGAATTTGATCTTTATTATGGTTGTGTGTTGATGTATGAGTGCTGGGAATTGAACCTAAGAACAGCCACTGTTCTTAATCACTGAGCCATCTCCAGCCCAAGGACTCAGTGTAAAACTCATTATAAAATGACAGTCATCATTACAGATGGTTATAACTTAAAAATAGATAAGCAGCTAGGGATATAGCTCAGTGGTAAAGTGTCTAGCTTACAGGGGGCCCTACATTTGATTCTCAATAATGAATAAAGAAAGATGTGTAGAGAGTTATTCAGCAGGCATAGTGGCAAGGGATAGACAGGCTGAGCTGAAAGCCAACCTAGTCTGATGTCTACATAATAAGACCCTGTCTCAAAAGAAAGAAAGAAAAAAATAGATAAATGAGACCAATGGAACTGAATTTAAGATTCAAAATAAACTTTAATTTATAGCCACTTAATTTTTTTCAAATATCAATTTGGTTGTTTCAGGGTTTGGGGGGTTGTTTTTTAATTGTTGTGTTTTGAGGGGTAATGGGGAATGTCCTTCTATATGTGTGTTTCTCTTATTGGTTGATGATTGGCCAGTGAGGCAGAAAGATAGGCTGGATGGGGAGATGAGGAGAATTCTGGGAAAGGTAGGGAGAGGGAGAGCAAAAAACAGTCACCATGCAAGGACTGGAAAGAAAGGACACACCAGACATTCTCCAGTAAGATAAGGCCATGTAGAAATATGTAGATTAGCAGTTAAGACAAAGCTAGCCAATAAGAAGCCCTAACCACCGGTCAACAGTTTTAGAATTAATATGGCATCCGTGTGCTTATTTAGATCTGAAGCAGTGGCTGGACAAGAAAAACTTAATGGGGGAAGGGGTTTGTTTTGAGACAGGGTCTCTCTGTAGGTCTAGCTGTCCTGGAACTAATATGTAGACCAGGCTAGCCTCAAACACAGAGATCCTTTTGCTTCTGCCTCCTAAGTGCTTGGATTTAAGGCATGCACCACCACATACATCCAGCTTCTAAGAATGATTTTAATTAAAAAGAAAGGAAAATAAAAGGAAGAAAAGCCCCAAAGTCTCCCGGGCAGTCCTCTAAAACACTATGCAAGTGTTAGTTACATGTCTTGCTAGCACAAAGGGGTTTCTTCACCGGGAGCAAAGGCTCTCCAGAAGTTTCCTACATTTCTGGGTTCTACAATTTTTATAAGCTCTTGCTTGAAATGAGGACACTAAAGCACAGGGTAAAGGGATTGACGTGAGAGTAGACTTCAGGGAGAACCATGGACCAGAAATCCATCATTCCTCTTTTCTGTATATTCTGGCTGGTCTGGAGATCACAGAGATCCACTGTCCTCTACCTACTAAGTGCTGTTTGCCCTTCTTTTACAAGACTATAAATCCCTTTAGGGAAAACAATGAGTGTCTACACCTTTCCATTGCATTTTGTATATTATTCAAGCACTGAAATAGATACTGTTATTTTTATCCACACCCCAAACAATGAGAAACATACATAGTCACTTTTGACCTAAGTAATGTTCTATTTGTTCACAGTTTTTCTCTTATTTAAGAATTCAAAAGATATTGTTAGGACTGACAAAATGGTTTAGTAGGTGAAGGCGCTTCCTACTACCTCTGATTACCTCAGTTCAGTCCCCAGGCCCCTCATGGTAGAATGAGAAAACAGACTCCTGTGTGTTGTTCTCTGACCTCCACACTTGTGCCATGTAGTGTATACAACAGCATGCAATTTTTTTTAATTTTTAAATTTAAAAGTTATTTAAATGAAATCTAGTGAGCTCTAATTCTTTGGGAGCTTGTGCTGATTCTATCATAAAGATAAAGAGTATTATCTTGGGGTTGGTAGTCAAATAGTATAAATAAATATTTTCTGCATTTAAATCATGGCAATAAAGGGGAAATACATATGAATAATGCTGAATATGATAATGTATACCTGTAATCCAGTACTAGGGAGGCCTAGGCAGGGGAATCTTGAGTTCAAGTTCAAGTGGAGTTACATAGTAAGGCTGTCTCAAAAAAGAAAACCAAGGGCTGGGGCATAGTGGCACACACCTTTAAGCCAGTACTCGGGAGGCAAAGACAGACTCTTTCCGAGTTAAGAGCCAGCCTGGTCTACAGAGAAGTTCCAAAGCAGAGCCAGAGTCAGAAAATACACAAAAAAGAGATTGTCTTACTTGAGCATAAATGCCATCTTGGGCATTTATGTCTTAGGTAGCAGTTACAAAGTTAAGAAAATACAGATCATTCAATGAAAATAGATAAATAATTTGTTCTTTTTAGATGCAAAAGAAAACAATCTTTGAGACATAAATATTAAAGTATCATTCATGTAGCATAACTAATCTCTGAATGGTTTGTTATTTTTGTTTATCCTAATTCTATCTGTAGTTCTTGGCTCTTCCAGAATATTGTTACTTCATACTTCAAAATTTCTCGTAGGTAGGAAGTCAAAAGAAATTTGATTTATCCTTAGGTCTTGCTTCTAGTTCAAAATAGTTGGTGCTGTCATCTCTGTAAATGGTTTGCCTGTACCTCTAATAGAAAGGGAGTCATATTTGTGGGTCTTGAAACCACTGAGAACACTATCTCTTATCTCTTTGGGTAATAGAAATGTTAGGTATTAATTTCTCTTGTGTCTGAAGCTTAAAAATCTCTTTTCTAGATATGGTCTCTCTGGCAGTGATGTCCTAGATAATGTAGCATATGCTCGAGGGTTCAACACAGATCACCAAACCCAGCTCCTTTATCAAGCATCAGCCATGATGGTAGAATCCAGGTATGCATTCAATAAAAGACATTAAGTATATCCCCATAGACCTTTCCTGAATCTGTGTAATAATTTGAATAGAAATGGAGACATTTACATTTTAGGGGTTGGGGGGTGTTCTTTGGTTTGGTTTGTTTGTTTGGGTTTTGGGGGGGTAGTTTAAGACAGGGTTTCTCTGTGTAGCCCTAGCTGTTCTGGGCTCACTCTATAGAGTAAGTTAACCTTGAACTCAGAGATCCACCTGCCTCTGCTTCTCAAGTGCTGGGATTAAAGGTGTGTACCAATATTGCCCAACTTTGTTTTTAAGATTTATTTTTACTGACGTGTTTCTGTAAATTTATGCCTCATGTGGGGTTACTTATAGAGGTCAGAAGAGGACTAGGATCCCCTGGAGCTAGAGTTACAGGTCATTGTGACTTTCCCAGTATGGGTGCTAGGAAACAAACTTGAGTCCACTGGAAAAGCAGAAAGTAATCTTAACAGCTGAGTCATCTCTCCAGCCCCAAGTTCCTTTCTTTTAAAAGTATTTTTGTGTGCCTGATGGTGCTGTGGTGGTGTTTGCCTGTAATCCCAGCACTCTGGAGGCAGAGGCGGGTAGATCTCTGTGAGTTTGAGGTCAGCCTGGTCTACGGAGCTAGTTCCAAGACAGGGCTGTTACACAGGAACCCTGTCTTGAAACACTCCCCTCCTAAAAGAAATTGTGTGTGATCTGTATAAGTGTTTATGTGTACACACTCATGTGAGTGTGGGCATGCATATGAAGTGGCTCATATGTGCAGATTATAGGACAATTTTGAACATTAGTTCTCACTCTCTACCTCATTTGAGACAGCATCCCCTCTGCCTTGAATACCAGGCCAGCAAGTCCACGGGCTTCCAACAGCACTTGCCATCTTGCTGTAGAAGCACTGAGATTACAAACACATGCTACCTTGACTGGCTTACATGGGCTCTGGGGACTTAAAACTCAGGCCCTCCCGTGTATATATAACAAGTTCTTTACCCACTATACCATCTCTGCTCTTCAGTCAGTTTGTATTTTGGCACAGTTGCTTTATGGTTTCAGTCAAGTCCCTAGTGAAAAATGATGCTGTGGCTGGAGGCACAGCATTTTTCTAAATGCATGCTAGTCTCAAGTTTTGTGAAAAACAAAAAAAATCTCAGTTACTTTTGGTCAAGTCTGCTGTGATAGTTTAAATGTAGCTCACAGGGGTGGCACTTTTAGGAGGGCTGGCTTTGTTGGAGTAGGTATAGCCTTGTTAGAGGAAGTATGTCTTACTTAGTTCACTTCCTGCTGCCTGCGGATCAAGACTGTCAGCTCTTTCTCCAGTACCAAGTCTGCCTGCATGCTACCGTGTCATGTCATACTAATGGACTAAACCTCTGAAACTATAAGCCAACTCCAGTTAAATGTTTTCCTTTGTAAGAGTTGCCATGATCCTTGTCATGGTGTCTCTTCACAGCAATTGAAACACCTGCCAAAAACAAAACAGAAGATACCCACCAAAGTACATCTCAGATTGGACATTTTATAAGCATTTTAATAGAATGTGTGTTTGCCAGGTAGTGGTGGCACACGCCTTTAATCCCAGCACTCAGAGGAGGCAGAGGCAGGCGGATCTGTCTAAATTTGAGGCCAGCCTGGTCTACAAATTGAGTTCCAGGACAAGCTCCAAAGCTACACAGAGAAACGCTGTCTTGAATGAAAGGAAGGAAGGAAAGAAGGAAGGAAGGAAGAAGTATGTTTGTGTTTAACTAGGAAGACTGTGTCAGTGGCTCTTATATTTTATCCTAGCACTTGGGAGACTGAGACAGGAAGATCATAAATTTCAGAACAGCCTGGGTTACATAAGTAACAAACCCTCATCTCAAAAAGAAGAGAGGTGGAAAATGTATAATAAATGTCAAATTTTAGATCGGTGAGGAAGGGAGAAGGTTTGACAAAATTATTTTTTCTTGTAGATACGCACTGCTTATTGTAGACAGTGCTACTGCCCTCTACAGAACAGACTACTCAGGTCGAGGAGAGCTTTCAGCCAGGCAAATGCATTTGGCCAGATTTCTGAGGATGTTGCTTCGACTTGCTGATGAGGTAAGCTGTAGTAGAGAAACCAAGAATTCAGTGGCTACAAATTGTAGGAGCCTTCTGAGGACATGAGTACCTCGTATTATCAAAGAAGAACATTAGATAGCCATGGCTTTGTTCTGAGCATTAATGTTTTGGTATGTCTGTGGTCCCAAACTGACATCTTTCCCTTATCAGTTTGGTGTAGCTGTGGTGATCACCAACCAGGTAGTAGCCCAAGTGGATGGAGCAGCCATGTTCACTGCAGATCCCAAAAAACCCATTGGAGGAAACATCATTGCCCATGCATCAACAACCAGGTAAGGTGATGGTAGAAGCTTTCTAGAATGCATGTCACAAAAACTATGAAAATGGACATAAAGTAAAACACTTCTACTTAAACCCTATTACAATTGCTGAAGTACAGACACTTAGGAAGCCTCACTAAATTTGTTGTACAGATGGAGAAATGGCTCAGTGATTATGAGCATGTTCTGATCTTGTAGAGAACCTGAGTTCAGTTCCCAGTACCTCCCATCAAGTGCTCACAACCTCCTGTAATTCTAGCTCCAGGAGATCCAACAATTCTGGCCTCTGACTGGCACCTGCCCTCATGTGCACATAGGCACATACAGCCACAAACAGTGAGGAAAATACATGAGTATTTGATATGCCTCCCCAACTATAAAATAATGTTTCATTCTTTAAGCTTTTTAGTCAGGGAGTCATGGCAGAAATGGATTCCTCTAAGTTGGAGGTAACCAAATACACTAAAAAAGGTCTTATAAATCCTTTTAGGAAATTATACATGCCTGAAAAAATTAGTTCTATCATGGGAATAGAACTGTTTATAACTTGGTGTTTTGGTCTCTTTGGTCAGGCTGTACCTGAGGAAAGGAAGAGGGGAGACGAGAATCTGCAAAGTCTATGACTCTCCCTGTCTTCCTGAAGCTGAAGCCATGTTTGCCATTAATGCAGATGGAGTGGGAGATGCCAAGGACTGAATCGTCAGGACCTTTTTTTTTTTTTTTTTCTGTGATAAACTTTTAAATGCTAAATAGCTTAATGAAGAGGACTGTTCCCTGGGCTTCTTCAGGCTCTTCCTGATGGGACTGCCAGGACATGACTTCCAGGAAAATAATTATTGTATCGGCTTTCTGGTGGCAGAAACAGGAGACAGGTCAGTATTCAAACTGATCTGAAATGTTCATTTCTTACAGAGTTTATTTCTTATAGAGTATATTAATGTCTGATTTCTTTGGTGTTTGGAGGAGAGATAGGAAATAACTATCAGTCTTAAGTTTCAAGAGAAGTAAATTTGGAGAGACCTGAGCTTCCTCTCACTTCTCAATAACGGTAAAATAAAATGACTGTGATAACAATGGGAATAGGTGTTTGCCACATTCTTTTTCTCTATACATAAGATGTAAACTTATGATGGAACTCTCATAATTTAACTGTTTTGGTTAAGGAGTCTTGCATGAGGCATGCTAGACTATCAGCTGTATAGTGCATATTGTTCTTGAAGCATTTATCTAAAGTGTCTAAATTATTCTAGTATTAATAAAAATTTGGAGTCAGATATTGGAGTAAAAGCCTGATAGATCAAGAAAGAGGCAAAGGTACATGTCTTTAACCCCAGCATTCGGGAGGCAGAAGCCTGGTCTACACAGGGAGTTCTAGAACAGTGAGGGCTACACAGAGAAACCCTGTCTCCAAAAAAAAAAAAAAAAAAAAAAGCAGCAGAAGAACAACCAGTTGACCACACTTCCCAGATCAAAAAAGCTCATCTGTCATTCTAAGCCCCTCCCTATTCTTTCCTGTGCTTCTCAGTTGAATCCTGAGTCCTCCAAATTCTCCATGGCTAATTTGGTCAGCTAGTGCCCCCTGATTCAGGGTTAACTTTATTAATAGCCTTGGAGTATCACAGTGCAATCAAATATCCCGCAGTGTGTTCTTTCAATTACTAAACAAATTCATTCTATAGCTGCTAATAAAGAAGTTATGTGCAGTAAATGTGCTTTTTTTTTTTTTTTTTTTTTTTTTTTTTTTTTTTAACAGGAGGTATAGTCTCATGCAAACTGAGAATTGCAAAATAATCTCCATAATATCTTGGGGTACTGAGTTGTTATGACCAGTTGCTATAGTTGTAAGATTTGAAAACTAAAGAAAGCCTACATTCAGGTTGTTATGCTTATATTCTTGGCCTATGTATGAGATTGCCAGGCTGATTTACTATGTCTTTTCTGTAGTCTTTGTTTTTATTTTCTAAGTCTTGTGTTGCAGAGGTCTTCCACTGGCCAAGTGATTTCTACTTTAGGAATGTTTCCAGAAACTGTGCTTTCCTTTTGGACTCTTGAGTCTCATTAATACAGAATTTCAAAACAGATTTGGAAGAAAGCTCAAATGCTGTGGGAATCATTCAGCCAATAGCTTTTGGGGGTACCGACCCCTTCTGGGCTTCTCTGAGGTGTGCTACTTAAGACTGATAACTGGGAAGGTGTACTCACTCTCTTGGGAGGTCAGAGCAGAAGCAAGCTTGTACAGTTCACATCTCCCTGGGGCAGAGCGGCGGGACAGGGCAGCTTCCACATTGTCTGGTAGTCTGTGAGTCTGTGTTTCCTTTTGAATCCCATTTCCCTTTGAATTCCCATAATAAAGACAAGTTGTAACTCTCAAAATATCTTGCTTTACCTGGTGACCCATGCTGGGCACCAGCTGTAGAGGAAGAATTTTTTCCATCCTGCTGGTCCCTCTTAGACCAGTTTCTCTCTGCACACTGGGTCCCCATAGCCACTTATAAGATAACCACTCAGACTTTATAATTGTTTTGGCCAGTGACTTAGGTTTATTACTAGCTAGCTCTCTCTTTTTTTATAAATTAACCCTTTTCTACTAATCTGCATATTACCACTTGGGTGTGGCATACCAGTGATGCCCTTGCATCTGGCCTTCCCAGTGGCTACATAATGGCATCTCCTGTCTTCCTTCTCCCTGTCTATTTGGGTTTCCTGACTAACTAAAATCTGCCTGTCCATTGGCTAAAACAACTGTATTCATCAACCAATAAGAGAAATACATAGTCACAGCATACAGAAGGCAAAAGCAATTTTATTCATGCTTGTGAGAAAAGCAATAGACTAGGTAAGCTGAAAATGCTAGCGGATGCCAAGAGGTGCAGAGCTAGAGAAGTTGTCATGTTTTTTGTTTTTCAAGACAGGGTTTCTCTGTGGAGCTTTGGAGCCTATCCTGGCGCTTGCTGTGTAGACCAGGCTGGCCTTGAACTCACAGAAATCTGCCTGCCTCTGCCTCCCGAGTGCTGGGATTAAAGGTGTTCGCCACCACCATCCGGTGAAGTTGCCATGTTTTTTAAGTTAGCATGGAGATAAGAGAAACAGTAAGGAGTCCCAGAAAGTCAGGGAAAAAACATGCTGAAGTTTCTGGCTGGTATCCAGGGGGAAAAAAATCGCATATATGAAAAACCAACCAAGCCTCTGATCTGAGATCGGAGGGCACTGGCTTCATCCCAGGACAAAGGATTACACTAGTGACACAAGGCTGGAAACTGACAGTTTATCAAAGAAGGAAAAGGCATTGGGAGCTCCAGGGACATGGCTCAATAGTTAAAAGCGTTTCCCTTGCTTGCTCTCTTGAAGGACTGAAGTTCGGTTCCCAACACCCGTATTGGGTAGCTTCACAAACTACTTTAACTTCAGCTCCAGAGGAATCTAACACCTTCTGAAATCTGGAAGCATGCACATTACACATAATTTTTTTTTAATATGTGTGTTTTTCCTGCATGTGTGTATGTATGTACATTCTATGTATGCCTGCCTGCCTGGTGCCCATGGAGATCAGAAGTCATCAAATGTCCAGGAACTGGAGTTACAAATGGTTTTGAGTCGCTGTGTGGGTGCTGAGAACTGAGCATAGGTCCCCTGTAAGCAGCAAATGCCTATAACCACTGAGCCATCTCTCCAGTTGTTAGCAAATGTTTATGGTGGGGGGACTAGTGGATCTCTGATTTTAGGACAGCCTACTCTACAAGGGAAGAGGAAAGGAGTCTCTCTCTCTGGTCTAGGTTATCATTTCTAGACTGTAGTAGGGCACCTCTGTGTAAACAAAGATTTGGGGGGATTAAAACACTTGCATAAGAAACTTACAAAGTAGTAAGATAAAGATTAGAATAGTATTTGATAAAAAAGACTCCTGTTTCTTACTGCTAGACGGATAGCTCAGCGGTTAAGAGTGCCTGCTACTCTTTCAGAGAACCTGAGTCTCATTCCCAACACCCATGCCAAGTGGCTGAGAAAGCTTGTAACTCTAGCTCCAGACCCAATTCCTCTTTTGGCCTCCCTCAGATAAGCACGCATGTGACATACACTCACACACATAAGTCAATTTTTTTTCTCTCTGAAAATATAAAGAGCCCAAAGTGTTTGATGCACTATTTTTGTCTTCAAGTCTTCTGTGGAAGGAAATCTGAGGTTGTCAAATAATGGAAACAGACAAATTATCCTTCTAATCAAATTTAGTTTATTTCAAATTTGTACCAAAAAAATATTTCAGGCACCTCTTCAGATCACTTTCAAAATATATTTATAAACCCTTTGCCAGTGCTGTCATCCCAAAAGCTGCCAGAACTCTGGAAGTCATGTGGTCCAGCCCCTCACCCAAAGAATACAGGAAGAGTCTACATAATGGATGGTAAGAGGGCAGTAACTGGACTGTGCTGACGACTCCTCTTGTCTTCATAGGTAGGGTATGACTTTAGGACAATAAATATCTGTTGGATATTAGTACAGTCCTATGCTTTGTTGCCATGGCTCTTTTTGATGTTCATCTATCTCACTGGCAGTTAGAAGACACTCCTGCTACTTTGTCCTCTCAGCTCTTAGCCTTCTGGGCTGTCTCCACAATTAATCCTATGGCTATACTGTCGTGATTGTTCAGGAGTTCACTTAAGAGGAAGAAAGCAGAAGCCTAAACTGCAAGTCCATCTTCAGTTTTAGATTAAGAGATTATAATAAATTAATTGATAACATAGGAAGTTGAGGGATGAAGGTAGTAGCAGTCAGACCTCAGAGGTCAGGACATCCTCTAAACCAATCTTGCTTGGTTTCCTGAACTCATTGGGGTCACAGGGGGTAAAAAAAAGCAACTTGATTTTCTTTTCTCCATTTAAATTGTAGTCATTGAAATGTGATTATTTTCCTAAAATTACTTCCAAATCTTCCAATTCTTTTTGGAAAGCTGAATCCTAGGAGACAAAGAAAGCAAATCTAGTACAGAATCAGAATTAAGCTTTCGCCTACTCACTAGAACCTGACAAGGGCCCTTTGCTTTTATACTAAGCTGTTACCAGTCTTCCTCTCCTAACTTTCCCCACAATGGCTTGGAGTCTTATGTAATCTGCCTCCTCCATTTTGCACCTCACATAAGGGAGACAGATTGCAGAGCATGTAGGAAACTCCACATAAAATGGTAAACTTTCTTGGGAAAGGTGACTCTGTGGCAGAAATCAGTATTTAAAGTCTCTTTAAACTTTTTACTGAAGCCTGGGGGGGAAGGTGGGCAACAGTAAAACACCTGACATTTTAGTGTCAGGATGTAAATGCAGATCTTAAGGGAGATGAGAAAAGCCGATGGAGACTCAATCTCCTGAAGCTCCCTGGCCAGCTAGCTCAACATGCATAGTGGTGAAAACAAAGAGACCTTGTCTCAAAGGAGGTGGAAGGCAAGGACCTGAGGTGTGTCCTGAGTCAGGACACACACATACCATCCCTACACAAAATATTACCAAGCTAAGTTCTGGTATTTTGCTGCAATCCTAAAACATGATGGTCAGATGGAGGTCAGACTAAAGCTACATTTTGAAACACTGTCTTTAAAGAAATTACTATCTTACCTCATTAGTGACATCTGGCAGCTCCTGAGCCAACTTCATCCACTTTCTAGCTTCAGAGTTTTTTCCTAATTCTCTATAGCACTGAGAAAAACAATGAAAACTTAAAAACATGAAGAGATCAGAAAGACCATGTATATGTGTACCCAGAAGCTGAGTATCACAGTGCATTTAATCCCAGCACTCAGGAGGTGTTCTATATATCAAAACCATGTCTCAAAGGAAATGGGGGAAAGGCAGGGCAGTGGTGGCACATGCCTTTGATCCCAGAGGTCAGCTTGGTCTGCCGAGTGAGTCCAAGGACAGCCAGGACTACACAGAGAAACCCTGCCTTGAAAACACCAATGGGCAGGGGCAGGAGGGATATGGTAGCTTACAGCTAATAACCTCACTCAACATTCAGAGGCAAGAGGATTGCCTTGAGTTAAAGGTCAGCTTGAGCCATTGAGAATCTTGTTACTAGAACACCTCAATATAGCTCTCAAAAAATAGGGGCTTAACAGTATGGATAACTCAGTGGCAGAGCATAGAGCCTTCGATCCCAGAAATACAACATTATTTCCACCTATGTTAAAGGTGAATTTACCTTAGAAATATATACTCGTCCAGCTTTTGAAAATCCTGGCTGTAGTTCTTCAGCCTGGAGAAAGAAAATCACTTTATTAAGAGGTTCATGCATTCCATTCAAGCTAGAGTTTAGGTACTAGAAAGCTCTATACAGTAGTAACAAGATTGATTTAGTGTGTCAGGAAATTAACACTTTTATAAACACCTCATAGTTCTGATTTTCCCTCAAAATAAGGTAAGTACAAAATTATCCCCAACTAAAAAACACACCTTCGAGAATAAGCCAGTGTGGCTTCCACCCACCATTCCCTTGATACCTTTAGGAAGTTCTGTAGCGCATCCTGCACAGTGGCACTAAGAGGGCTTTCGAACAAGGCTGTAGCTGTCTTTTTTTCCAGCCAGCTCAAGTGAGAAACCTACCACCAAAAAAAAAAAGATAGTGTGAATGAATACAAGGTTGGTTTTTGGGTTTTGGTTTTTCAAGACAGGGTTTTTCTAAATGTCCTGGATGTCCTGGAACTTCCTCTGTAGACCAGGCTGGCCTCGAACTCAGATCAGCCTCCCAAATGCTGGGATTAAAGGTGTTTGACACCACTGCCTGGCTAAATAGGTTTTAAGACATTTGTTGGGCCAAACATGGTGTCATGTTCCTCTAATCCCAACACTCTAGATGCAGGAGAATCAATTCAAAGACAGTCTGGGGCTACATGAAATCCCATCTCCAAAAAAACAAGTTTCAGGCTACCAGGTTGGCTCAACAGTGTAAGGTTGCTGGCTGCCAACTCCTAGAGCTGAACAGTGCTCACATGACTGAAGGAGAGAACCAACTTCTCAGGATAGCAGAGTGCCTATAGAGTGTGACTCCCTATATTGAGTCACCAGCACTGTCAAAAGTTGCTTTGAGAATAGTATATACATATATACAGAATGTTATGCATTAAAAGCAGTATCTAGAGAACATTCTAGTAGCTTGAGGTACCGGTAGGAGTGGCTGGAGGAGACATTACCAGACCTGGAGCTGCAGGTTAAACCTGGTCAAGATGACAGCTTCCCAAAAGCATCGTGACCTCGTGGCAGAGCCCATGGGGGAAAAGCCAGTGGGGAGCCTGTCCAGGATTGGTGAAGTCCTGGGCGAGAAGCTGGAGGAAAGGGGCTTTGACAAGGCTCATGTGGTTCTTGGCCAGTTTCTGGTGCTAAAGAGAGATGAAGACCTCTTCCGAGAGTGGCTGAAAGACCCGTGTGGTGCCAATGCCAAGCAGTCCTAGGACTGCTTTGGGTGCCTTTGAGAATGGTGTGATGCCTTCTTGTAATGTACTCTGGGGACGCCTCAGCTTCCCCCCCCCCCAGCCACAGAATTGAGTCTCCAGAGTCTGAAGCTGGGTGGGGCTCCCCCCTGTCCTCCATGAGGGAAGAGATTACCATTGTCACACTCACTTCCCGTGTACTCTAAGGTCTTTTGGGATTTCTCTCCCCTCAGCATCTCAACCTCTTTAAAATTGTTGTGCTTGCATGCCTTGCCCCTTCTCCCCCTGCAGTTCCATGACAACAGCTAGCTTTCCTGAGTGGATTCCTGGCCCCTTTCTCCCTCCTTTCATGATCTGTTGGATGCCCTTTGGCTCTTTTTTTTTTTTTCCCAAAAAAAATTAAGTCACTATCCTTATCCCTTATAAAGACCTTTTTAGACTAATTAAAAAAAAATCAGTACCTAATGTCACATGCCTGTAACCCAGCACGTAGGAGGCTGAGACAGGAAGATCATTAGTCTGAGGCAGCCTGGGCTACATAAAACAGGAACATTTACGAATAGGATGAACACTGAGGACTGTGCTGGAGATTGGCCTTGAACTGTATATACAGCTCACCTGGTAGCACCACCTGCCAAGAAGAAAGTGATTCCTGGGGTCTTCTGGCTCAAGTTGAATGGCTTTGTCCACGTGTTCCTAAAGAGAAAATACCAACTAACATCAAACCCAGGGTTCCTCAGAAAAGAGCAGCAAAGTTCCAAGACTGTGGGAAAGCTGGTCTAAGGAAGCAAGGGATGGGGATTGGGCCAGCACACGGCAAAGAGAAGCCTGTCCTCACCTTGAAGCTAAAGCCACTCTGGATACGCCTGGAGATGCCCTCATGCTCAGCCAGCTGACCGCAGAGCACTGCATACCTGAGGGGGAAGCAGCAAGCTCAGGCACAAGGACTGCACTGAGTGCAGGGAGTGGAGTGATGCCCATGTGTGCTGACACTTCCCTTCTGCATAAGGGTAATCGAGAATGTGCTTTTCAGCTATAAATAACTCTCCTCTTAGATTCATCATGGTCTCAGTTAATCCTTAGGAGAGGGCTTATAATCATTCTCTAATGTAATTGTAAGTTTTGATTTTTGGTTTGTTTTTTAGGCCCTTTCCCTGCTGGACACCCCCCCAATACACATACACAAAGTAAATCTCTCCTTTATACTTTAAAACATTTAGCCAAGTGTGGTGGCACATTTTAGTAATCGCATCACTCACAAGGCTGAGGTAGGCTTGTCTCAAGTTGGAAGCCAGCCTGAGAAAGATTGATTGATAGGTATCAAGTACCAGACTAGGGAGAGTTATCATAGCAAAACTGTGTAAAACAAAAACAGACAAGGTCTCAACGCAGATCTTTAAATGTCCCTTTTTCATATAGTCATAGGTTATCACGAAAACTTAGAAGAGCAGTTAGGTTACACCTTAGTGACCTGCCACCATGAGGCTCTGGGTTTGACTCCAATACTGCAAACAATCTGAGAAATCAGCATCAAAGTGCAAGATAGACGTCTGAGTGTGTTCTTACTATTTTACCTCTGGCTGTTTATTAGGTCTCTTTAAATTAAGAAACATACAGGTAGTGTATCATTAGGCAGGAGTCTTGTTTCCAGCATAGTCAAATGAAATGCTCAAGGACCTTTGTTAACATGGGAACCAATGGAACAGGAGGAACAAATTAGTGCTTGTCTTACAGGGGCTGGGAAGTGTATCTCAGTGGTAAAGTACTTGCCTAGCATATTGTAAGGTCTTTGTTTAGTGATAAATGCCATTTGAGAAGCCAGGAGAATCCAAACTTAATGTGTCTGTATAACAATGTGCATATGAATAGTGTCCACTGAGACCACAAGAGGGCATCGGTTGGGAGCCACCTGACTTGGGACCTGGAAACTTGAGTCTTCTGGAAGAGCAGCAGTGTGTGCTCCTAGCCACTGCACTATAAACACTTTAAACTTAATGTGTGTTTACAAACACATCCCATGATACAATGTGAAGGTCAAAGGACAACTCTGGAGTCAGTTCTCTCTTTACATGTATTCTTGGGATCAAACTCAGGTCCCCAGACTTGCCCTGCTAAGTAAGTGCCTTAATCTACTTAATCTCACCACCCCACCCACCTCTAACCCCAGCTTCTAAGGGCAGTGTGGGCAACTTAGTTCAGTGATAGAGTGCACAGTGCAAGACCTTGACTTCAATTCCCAGCACCACACACACACACACAGAAACCAGCAGGACTTATTTACCTGTCCTCTGCCCCAAACACCCAGTACTAGAAGCAAAGTTAACAATGATGTCTTCCCATGCCAGAGTTTCTTTTAATATCTTGCAGGGGTGGGAGGGTATGTTTGTACCATACTTGGGCTCATTTTCCATGTACAATCCAAATACTTATTCCTTAGGAATAACTTTAAAAAACCTGCCGATTTTCATCCTTGAGAGCCCAGGGAGAGCAATGATACCTAGAAACAGTTACCTGGCTTCTGAGCAGACCCTTGGCACGGAAAGTTTCAGCCATAGATGGAAAAACACAGCCTCTCAGCTTACAATCTGAGGGTAGAGATTTGAAAAGCAAAGGACAGTGGAAGAAGAACGAACGTTTTTAACTAAAACAGATGCTGGGATCAGGTCCCAGGACATAAACTGGCCTTGCCACAAGCCAGTGGCAAAACTTGTCTCCCAAAAGACCACAAAAGGACTCACTGGGGGAGTCTTGGGTTTATTTTTGTGTGGTGCTGAGTATGGCACCAAGGCCTTATGTGTGCTAGGCAAGCATTCTACCACTGCACTATAACCTCAGCCCAGTAAGCAATTAATTTCTATTAAGTTGATCATTGAATTTCCTATGTATAAGCTCACATCTTTTTCTCATGCAAATCAACCAAAGAAGCCAATGTCTACTACCAGCCAGGGGTTACAGCTAGGGAAAAGAGCTTTTTTGTAGGACAGGAATTTCAGGTTGTCTCAGCTTCCCTGAACAGCTCAAAACCAAGTGTGTGGCCAGAGTGACTCTTGGAAAAAAACTCAGTTTTGTTTGCACCAGCAGAATAATGCTTGTGTTTTCCCTGGCGTTACCCTCCAGAGCATCTCCCAAAGCATACTTCCTTGCCCTGACAACTAGGGTATGGTTAGCATATAGGAATTCAAACCAGTGCCCCCACCCCCACCCTAGTTCTTCAAGCAAATGCCTCTTGCCAGGGCAAAGAAAAGGGCCTATTCTGGTCTTCTTAAAGGCCTGCAGGGTGTTATTACCACTGGTGACTTCCCGCACTCTCATCTCCCTTCTCCAGAGCAGCCTCTGCTTCTTCTTTTCCTGGAAGACAGGGGTAGACCCAGTTAACAGGCTCCTGTGCACACGTCCACCAGAAGCAGCGCAGGAAGAATGGCTGCTTTGCACAGCTTCCCCACCTCCATTAGCTTGAACTGTCTCTGTTTTATTTTGAGATATGGGCTCCCCATGTAGCTCCGACTGGCCCTGAACTTGAGATTGCCTCCACCCCCAAGTACTGAGGTTACAAGTAGTGTTCCTGGTTCCAACCTATCATCTCTTTATGCCTACTTGATGTTCTTAAAGTACATTTTAGCATTTCAATATGAGAAAGGAACCAACAGAAACTCCAATAGACCTTACTCTGAAGGGTCCATAAACAGATTTAAGGATACTCGTGGTATCAATAAGGTTGTATTGAAATTTAGATACAATTATATTTTATTTAGAAAAATGTTCATAATTTAAGAAATGTTTGTTTTTCTAGACAGAGTTTCTCTGCATAGTCCTGGCTATCCTCGAACTCTCATAAAGAGTTCCTGACCCAGGGATCCCACCTCTGCCTCCCAAGTGCTGGGATTACAGGCAGGACAACCTATAGTCCTCACACTTGTACAACAGGCACATTGCCCACTTAGCCATCAGCCCTGCCCCTTGATGATCTTCCAGACTTTTTTAAAAGACAGTCTCATTGTGTAGCCCAGGTCACCTCAAACTCATGACCTTCCTGCCTCTGCCTCTGAATGCTCAGATTATGTTCCAATGATTTTGCTGCCACAACTGACTTTTAAGAATTCTATCAGAATACCTACCTGTCCTGAAGCTTGCTCTATAGACCAGGCTGGCCTCAAACTCAGAGTTCCTCCTGCCTCTGCCTTCCAAGTGCTGGCATCAAAGGTGTGCACCACTATTGCCCTAACTAAAACAAACCTTTTAACATCTAAGGGTGTTTTGCCTAGATATATGTCTGGTGCCCACAAAGACCAGAAAAGGATGTCTGAATCCCCAGAACTGGAGTTATGAGCCACCCTGTGTGTGCTGGGAACTGATCCCAGGTCCTCTGGAAGAGCAGCCAGTGCTCTTGACTGCTGAGCCATCTCTTCCATGAGTGTAGTGTTGTAGCCCTAGGGGATAGAGGTAAAAGAATTGCTGAAAGTTGGAGGCCAGCCCAGTCTATGTAGCCAGTTCCAGAACAGCTAAAGCTATATAGTAAAGCCCTGTCTCAAGAACTCATTTTTTAATTTCTTAAATTGTTTTTGTTTTTGTGCATTGGTGTTTTTGCCTACATGTTTGTCTGTGTGAAGGTATTAGAACTCCTGGAGTTACAGTTACAGACAATGGTGAGCTGCCACATAGTTGCTGGGATTGAACTCATGTCTTCTGGAAGAGCAGTCAGTGCTCTTAACCACTGAGCCATCTCTCCAGCCCCTATTTTTTTTATTTTTTTGAAGACAGTTACTCTGTGTAGACCTGGCTGTCCTGGAACTCTCTTTATAGACCAGGCTGGCCTCAAACTCACAGAGATCTGCCTACCTTTGCCTCAGGAGTGCTGGGATTAAAGGTGTGCATCATTACCACCTTGCAATTCTATTTATTTTTAAGACAGGGTCTCATATAGCTTGAGCTGACCTCAAATTCAATCCTCCTAAATGTTGGGTACTAGTATGTGCTACCAACTAGCTAAAAGGAGAAACCTTTAAAGAGAAAAACTAAATAACAATTGAACCTGAAACTCACAATGTAACTTAGGCTGGCCTCGAACTCACTGCCTCAGCCCCCAAGTATTGAGATTGCAGGTGTGATCTACCACACCCAGTTCATTCTGATTTTAAAGTTCCCAGATTCTTACTTCATGACTGACAAGGCCAAGTCCTAAGGGCAGGATGATTCAATTGCATTATACCTTCCAAAGTAGACTTAGGAAACAGATAAATTAAGCCAGCAATAATCTCCCAAACTTTTCTCTTGGGTGGACATATACATAGTGCACCCAGTCTCAGAATCTCTATCCTCCTGACTCTGGTTAAGATAGGCACCCTTCTTTCTGGTTGGGAAGTCAAAAGAGCAATATGACCACAACAGCAACATTAAAAACAATAAGCACCTATGCTACTGGGTTATTAGGGAGCAGGAGGCCTCGGAAGCCAGTCTGTCCCCACTGAGTGACTATACTATTTCTGCCCCACAGTATCTGGGCCTCAAACGGCTCAGCTGTAACTGCACAGCTGGTACCATTCCCATCATGTACCTGTCAGCATTTACCATTTAGAGCATATGACTTCTTCTCGCTCTCCTCCTCAGTAAGCTCAGACATGTCACTATAGGCTCGGGCCAGACGCCACAGAAAGTCTTGTTGGCTTCCATACTGTAGACCAAAAGGGAATAAATGAGTCTCCTCATCCATGAGGAATGGGGCCCTGGTCTTCCCATATTGTATGTTCCCAAGATAGTAGTACAGTCACTGACATCTGGCAACCTCTCTACCCAGCCTTCCCACTCCACAACTGGCCATGCACAGTAAACTGGATACATTATCTCTAGTTGATAGCTTGCACAATTGCTGGATAAGAACATTTGACCTCCTAATAGTGCCAAGATGGAAGGTCAATTCCAAGAAGATATGATGAGACACAGCAAAAGAAGTCTTTGGCTGACATATGAAACTGCTCAGAGGGAGAATTCTGCTGGACACGGTGGCCTGCACCTTTAATCTCTGCACACAGGAGGCTGAGGAACATGGATCTGTATTAGTTTGAGGCCAGCTAGGGCTACTTAGTGAGACCTGCCTCAAGGGGTGGAGGGTAGTTTCTAATTTCAGGAAGGAATTTGCAGAGTAAATTTGGTTTTATGAGCCTAGGGAATTGTTGGATGACCTACACAATGTCACTTATAATAGAAATTTCAAGTAGGGCAGGCAGATTCAGACTGTCTCAAGGAAAACAGAAGAAAGTGGGGGGGAGCACAAATATTTGGGTCCTTTGCATTTGTCTGCAGAGAGTTCTACAGGAGGAAGAAAACCATGTTGGGCAGGAAGCTGTGGGGTAGGCAGTACTGCTTCAGGATTCTGTGGCTTTGTTGGGTTAGAAACCATGTGGGGTTTTTTTTCATTCCCTGGGAGTGTCAGCTTCAAGAGAGCACTGAGGGGGAAGCCAACCAGTCAGCTGGAGTCTCACCGCCAGCTTATTGTTGAGCAGCAGCTGGAAGCCCTTCCGCTTGTTCTGCTCACTGCCCTGGTGCAGCTCATCTGCCTGCTGCAGGAGCAGCCACATGTCATCGAGGCCTGAGGCACCAGTCTCCAAGTCACCCGATGCTGGACTTGAAGCAACCTCCACATCAAGGTCCAGAGAATCCTTTCTCCCCATCTTCACAGTCTCACAGCTCACTTCATCTTCACCGTCCTCACTCTCCTTGTCGGAGTCCCGCTCATAGTCAGATTCAGCATTGGCTGTTGTATAACTGCCAGAGAATTAAGTGACAGGGTTAAGGCAGGGGATTTGTTCTCCAGAACTATACAGCATTGCTGTCCATGGAGCCAGGTCATTTCTTACGTAAGGGTAGAAACTAGTCTTCAAGAGAAAGTGAACTATTAGGGAATGATCAAGAAAGAAAGAAGTATCCAGTCAGCTAGGGGATGTGTGCTGGTCAGAGTCAAATATAAGATCCCTCTGTTTAGCTACCACTCAAACTGCAGAAAGCAAAAAGGAAAAAAAAAATGTGTAAGAACTAGGCTGCATGGGGTTGGAGGGATGGCACAGTGGTTAAGAGCACTGGCTGCTCTTCCAGAAGCCTTGATTTCAGTTCCCAGCCTCCACATAGTGGCTCACAAGTCAATAACTGTAATCCCATGGAGCCTGATGCCCTCTTCTGATGTGCAGATGTACATGCCAACAAAACACCTATATGCATAAAGTACATCTTTAAAAAAAAAAAACAAAAACAAAAACTAGGTTGCAGCACTTGGGAAGAAGAGGATCGGGAATTCAAGGTAATCTTTGATTACGTAGCATGTTTGAAGCCAGCTGGGCTATATAAGACAAAACAAAAAGTATCTCCAAAAGAGGGCTGGTGAGATACCTGGGTTGAAAGTCTTGCTGCTCATATTCGATGACCTGAAAGAACCAACTCATGCAAGTCGTCCTCTGCCCCTCCACACATGTGGCGGGTACATGCCACATTCATATATATGCACAGTAAAACTTTTTAATATAACAAAAAAGAACTAGGGGGTTAGGTACATGTTGCTAGATTACTTGCTGGTCATGCACACAAGTCCCTGGATTCAATCCCCAGCACCAAAACAACAGAAAGACTGGAGGAGGTTGGGAGGAAGTGACCTTACAAACACAGGTGGAGCTTTTGCTAATCATCCTTATCAGTCAAACCTCTGCCAGAACCAACCTGAGTAGGTGCCAGCCTGAGGCATGAGCAACAGCCATTCATTTCCCAATCTCTTTCTCAAACTTGTACCTGTGACCAAGTCACCCAAACCTCACTGACAGTAGAAGTAGCCTTGGGAATGTGGAAGAGTGACAGAAGTCACTTTCCAGCTGCTAACCCCTACAAGGTAATATCTCTGGGGCTTCTATAAGCTAGGTGATTTTTAGCAGCCACCACTACAGAGGAAGCCAAGTGTCTTTAAGTTTTCTGTCCACCAGCAGCTCATGAGGTCGCATCCCTAACTGGCAGGCCAAATCAGACATAAAATGGGCCTGGGACAAAGTAGGGTTTCCAGGGGCCAGAAACAGACACCAGAGAGCCCTCCCAGGAGCACTGGGAAATTTTTATATTTCATTTGGGAGCAAACCTTCCTAGAGTAAAGAATAAAGGCAGGCTCCCTGTGGCCAACACAAAACAAAACAAGGCAGTCTCTGCCCATGTGAGACAACCTAACATCTGCCTGAATGCACAGACAAAGGTACTGCCATCTGGAAAGCCACTCTGGTGAGGTCTAGAAGCACCAAGAGAGTAAGCAGAATGGGGGTCCCAGTCTAAACAGTTGATTGCTGCTGTTTAGAGCAGCTTCTGTTCTATTTGAAAAGGCAACCAGAGCATCAACTGCAAGAACGTGCAGGAGCCAGGTGGCACACACCTTTACTCCCAGCACTCGGGAGACAGAGGCAGGTAGATCTTTGTGAGTTTGAGGCCAGTCTAGTCTGCATAACAAGTTCAAGGCTACACAGAGAAACCCTGCCGGGCAGGAAGACCATATGAAACAGCATGATATTTATGAATGATCAGCCTAGTATCTTTCCCTTCTAGCAGTTTGCAGTTAGAGATTAAAGGAACAAGGAAAAGTACCAGACTCACTGATGAGTGAGAACACGCAAGGACAAGTTAGAGAACATGGACATAACCTGCCCAAATGAGATCCCCAGGGCCAAAGTAAAATGAGGTAAGTAATTTAACTGGTATGGAGAGCCTGAAATCTTGGTGGTTCTCTTTGCTAGAGAAGGGGAGACCATATGCTGGGGAGATTCAAACAGGAGATGTGCCTCCAGCACTCCCACGTGCACTGCTCTGGCTCTGCTACCTTTTCCCTGGCTCTGCTACCTTTTCCCTGGCCCTTAAAGGCCAGACTCGCATGGCCAAGGAGCAGCAGAGGTGAGAAGGGGCCTTGATGCCACTATAGTGAGAGCTAACAGGGCCCCCTGAAACAGGGAGGCTTTACAGCTCATTACACCTCCAAGTTCAGTCACACCAAGCTGAAGTCTCATATTATGACAACAATCAGGCTTCTAGGGGCCTGAAAAGAGATTTGCTATGTGCCAGGGTTACTCTATTTACAACGTTCCTTACCCTCTACCTCTGACCCTTGTGGAAATCTACCAGAGTGGCTTTCACTTGGTTACCATGCCCCAAGGCTTTTCAGATCAGTACTCAAGAGAAACACAGAGTTCCCACAGTTCTCTGTTCCTTACAGAAAGCTGATGAATTAGAAATGAAAGATTCAGCTTCCCACATGTCTGTTCCTGCTGCTATTTTATTTGACCTCCTAGTTCCCATTAGAGAGCTGAGCCTGGTACATTCAGTCATTACCAAGCTTGTGTCCCAAGCCTAGGAGGCTCTCCGTAGTAGAGATGAGCCACATAAGACTTAAAGTAACAGAAAGGGCTCAAGGAGTAACGATGAAAATGCTTGGCTGAGTTGCCTGGGAAGCTGGTGTTTAAAGGCATATTGGGCCCTTCAGGGAAAACATCAAGCTGTGTTTGGTACAACGCCCAGGCAATAAATTCACAAACCTGCACAATGCTTCTGCCACTGCCAGTCAACAACTTGGAAGCTCAAATGCATTATTTGGAAGAAAGAAGAAATACAGGCTACGTGAGACAGTTTGGCAAGTAAAGGCACCTGTAACCAAGCATGACAACCTGAGACCCAGAACCCACATGATGAAGGAAAGAACAAATTACTGAAAGTTGTCCTCTGACCTCTACCTGTGTAACTATGGCACACACTTGTGCATGCACACACACACAAGAAATAAATAAATAAAAAAGATTTGTAACAAAAAGAAATTTTAGAAAGCCTAGCTGGGCAGTGGTGGCACACACCTTTTAAACCCAGCACTTGGGAGGCAGATGTATCTCTAAGTTCAAGGCCAGCCTGATCTACAAAGTTCCAGGACAGCCAGGACAACACAGAGAAATCTTGTCTTCAAAAATAGCAAATGAGCTGGAGAAATGGCTCCGCAGTTAAGAGCATCAACTGGTCTCAGAGGACCCTGGTTTGATTCTCAGCATCCACATGGCAGCTCACAACTGTAACCCCAAGATCTGGCACACTTACATAGACATGCACGCAGGCAGAACACCAATGCACATAAAATAAGAATAAACTATTAAAAACCCAGCAAACAAAAGATTAAACAAAGGCATGGAGCAAGAAGCAGAAAGTGACCTGTCTTAGGCCAGTGAGCAGCCAGCCCATGAGACAGGCTTGGTCTGAAGCAAGTATGGAAAGAGTCTAGTGAAGTCATCAAAGGCCAACAACTGGGGGAAGGGCAGCTCTCGGTGGAAGAGTCTACCACATCATCCCTCAAGGCTCTTTCCTCCCTACGGTACACATGCTTAAAACCATTTCAGAGTTTATGGCCTACACCCAGAATTTCCCCTTGACCTATATGGCACCTATCATGATGAAAAAATTATTTACCATGGTCACTGTTCCAGATAGCAGCCAGCTAAGCCAGAGTCTTGCAACACCACCAGCTTTCACGTGCCACAGGATCAGTCATGGGGCTGAGCCTGGTGAAGCTATAATTAAGAAAACCATCCTCCCTTTGCTGCCCTACCCTGCCCCTTGGAGCCATGGGTGCTCCAGCGAGCACCCACACAGTAAGTCACCCACTCTGGACCCACTGACACCAGGAGATGAACTTATTTATGTCTTTTTTTTTTTTTAAGACATAGGCTCTTACAAAGTACTCTAAGCTAGCCTCAAAGTTACTATTATAATTCTAGGTTGGCTTTGAACTTCCAATCACCAGACTCCTGAATACTGAATTACCCATGTGTACCACCATAGTTGGCTGACCCCACAAGTTTGTATTTTTTTTGTTTGTTTTGTTTTTGTTTTTCCAGACAGCTTTAAAGCCTGTCCTGGAACTCACTCTGTAGATCAGGCTGGCCTCAAACACACAGAGATCTGCCTGCTTCTGCCTCCTGAGTGCTGGGATTAAAGGTGTGAGCCATCACAACCTGGCTGAGCCAACTTATAAATGATGATGATGGTTATTATTATTATTATTATTATTATTATTATTATTACAAAAAAGAACACAATTTAGGGGAAAGTGAGTATAAGAGGTCAATGGAAGAACTCAGAGATCCACCTGCCTCTGCCTCCTGAGTGCAGAGATTAAAAGTGTGTGACATCATTGCCCAGCGTGTTGTTCCCTCTTTAAAAGGTCAACCAGGGACTGAAGAAATGACTCAATGGTTAAAAGTACTTGTTGCTTGTTCAGAAAATCTGGGTTTGGTTCCCAGTACCCACAAGATGGCTCATAACCATCCATTAACTTCTGCTCAAGGAGATCTTATACCCTCTTCAGGCACCAGGCACACCAGCGATATACATAAATACATGCAAACAAAACATTAATACACATAAAATAAATCATAAAAAATGTTAAGCTCAAACAGCTGGAGAGATGGCTCAGCAGTTAAGAATTCTTACCTGCACTTGCTGACCTTGGTTCAGTTCCCAGCATCCACACAGCAGCTTACAACCTCCTATAACTCCAGTTCCAATGGATCCAATGCCCCCTTCTAATCTATACAGGCTCTTGCATATGTGTGGAGCATATAAATTTACACAGCCACAAATACACAAAAATAAATACCAACCCCCCCATCAAAAAAAAAAAAAAAAAAAAAAAAAAAAAAAGACTCAATAGGGCTGGAGGAATGGCTCAACAGGTAAGAGTTCAAATCCCCAGAAGCCAGATGATGTTTGTGTATCTATAATCCCTGTACTATGGGAAACAAAGACAGGAAGCTTGCTGGGGCTTACTAGCCACTAGCCATGCCCCAGATTCAGTGAGAGACCCTGTCTGGAGGAAATAAAGTAGACTCATATGACAGAATATCCTTAGTCCTCTCTAGCTTCCAGGCACACACATACATAGATCATACACATGAAAAAACTCAACCATCAGTCTCCCATCCAAGTAACCTAGTTCATCAGGTTTCCCAGAGATGTTCCTTAGTCCCAGTACTCACTGTCAATTGTATCCTTGCAATGTATGTAATTTTTGTTCCCACCTCTAACAGGGTCTAAGGAAGCCCCTCTTGACAGAACACTGTTGGATAAACTGAAAAAACTAGTTCTAAGACAGGCACATGCCTTTGATCCCAGCACTCAGGAGGCAGAGGCAGGAGGATCTCTAAGTTTGAGGCCAGCCTGGCTGGGTTTCAGGACAGCCAGGGCTACATAGTGAGATCCTGTCTCAAAAAAACAAAACAAAAGACAAGTTCTACTAGCCCTCAAGTACACAATTAGAAATCAGACATCTAGACAACAACAACAATGAGCAAAGACTTGAGTTCTACACCAACATTTCACTTGTTTGGGATGCTCATTACCCATTAGTGGGCTCTGCAACACATGTGAAGCCCTGGCACCAAAAGTAAACCACGTTCAAGAGGCACCTGAGCAAAATCCAAATCTGCCAGAGCAAGCAGTGGTGGCACACGCCATTAATCCCAGCACCTGGGAGGCAGAGAGGTGACTCTCTAAGTTTGAAGCCAGCCTGGCCTACAGAGTGAGTTCCAGGACAGTCAGGCCTACATAGAGAAACCCTGTCTTCAAAACAAAACAAAACCAAAAGGAAAAAAAAAAAATCTGCCATTAAAGACCAATGGCAGGAATATGAAAAGGGACAGACAGTAATTTTATTCTTCCTTTTATTTTTTTATTTCTTTTGGTTTTTGGTTTTTTTTAATACAAAGTTTCCCTGTATAACTGGAACTCATTCTGAAGATGAGGCTAGCCTCAAACTCACAATGATTTGCCTGCCTCTGCCTCTCCAGTGCTAGGATTGCAGTCCTGTGCCACCACCACCCAGCTAGTAATTTTATTCTTAATTTTTGTAGGAAAACCAAACGAGGGACTAGGATTAAGCCCATGGCAGAGCACTTGCTTAGCACATGTGAGGTCCTGGGATTGATCCCCAGCATGAAAAGAAAAAAATAAGAAGCAGGAGAAAATAACAACCCCCTACACTAACAAGACTAAAGTAAGAGAACTACTACTGCACCTTGGGCCCTTCCTGGGCATTGAGCTGTGGCATCTCAACCAATGGGAAGGACTCCCAAGAACATGCCACAAATGTGCCAATATAGCCCTACATGCCCTGAAGACCAAGCCACTCCCCAGATCACAGACTCAAACACAGCTGCAGATAAATCAGATTGTCAGGACAATGGGATTAGTAGCAGACAGGCTAAGTTTGCCCTTGGAAATTGTATAACCTAGGTCCGGGTGTCAAACCTCAATAAGCTCAAGTTCCCCATCTGAGAGGGAGAACCCAGGTCACAGGGTTATTATGAGGATTAAGTAAGAAAACACTGCTAAGGCGCTTAGCACAGTATCAGAGGAAGTAAATCGATGGTACCAGCATTACAAGCTGCCTGCTAAAGAGAGGAATCTGCTCCACAGTGTCCTGAATGGCTGATTTTCGCTTCTAGTTAGCTCAGCTGCTCTGACCTGACAGTTTGGCTGTTCTCTAATCCAGTCTATTCCTTGAGGAGGAACAAAGGTCAACAGAGGCCACCCAGGAGAAAAATCAGCCACTAAGTCTCGCAGACCAGCTAGGTGACTGGCACCAGCAGCACAGAGGGTAAATGCTGCCACCGACAGAATCAGACTGTCATTGGGACCAAAGTTTCAGAATGAAGCTGTGGCTCAAAATTAAAAAGCCCTTCCCCTGACCAAGCTTGAAGAGACTGTCTTGCCCACTGCTGTCTCCCCTCGTGGTAAGTCCTATCATCAGATCTCACCTCCCCAATGTACAGTAGCAAAGGAGCATGGGCCAAAGGAGAACAGGACATGACAGGCTTACAGACTGAGCACAACCTGCTCTGCCACTCAAGGAAAGAAACGAAGGAAGCCCTTGTGATGACACACACAAATGCCCACAAAATAAATAAATAAATAAATAAATAAGTAAAATAAAAATGATGAAAAAAGAAAAAAAAAAAAGTCCTACACTGGGGAGATGGCTTAGCAAGTAAGAGCACTTGCTACTCTTGCAGAGGACCTAAGTTCGGTTCCCAGAACATACGTAGCTGCTTACAACCATTTGTAACTGGTTCTAGAGGATCTAGTGCCTTCTTCTGACCTCTGCAGGCCCCACACACACCAGCAATGCACTTATATGCATAAAATTAAAAATAACATAAAAAAAGTCAACTCAGAGAAGTAACAGATGTACATCATAACAACAGCAAGCATCCCTGTTTGTCAGTCATCCCCTACTTTTATTCAAACATTATTTCTGGCGCCTTGGTTTGGATTCTGATAATCTTTTGATTATCCCGCGCAGCTGCAGCTGTAACGGCCTTGGGAGAGGCCACTCACCCTCCTTCACTCTCGGCATCTGTGAGTGCCGCCCCAGACGAGGCCGTGAAGTAGACAGAGCTGGACCCAGTGGAATCACTCCTCTCCCTGGCGAAAGGGAAGCGGCGCCGCCGAGCCACTCTCTGGTTCTCTTCTATATGAGATCTAGAAAGCAGGCCACATCCCAGAGGGCACATTAGGACCCACACAGCCTGCCTCCCCTCACTCCTCCCTCAGTAAAGGACCAAGGAAGGAGAGCAAGGTAGCCACCTGCTTGACAGACTAAATGGGGAAGAACGAAGAGGCTGAGCTGCTACAGTAGCCCAAAGGATACAGGGGCAGCAAGGCACTTGGGAAGGGAAAGGAACCAGATACGCAGCTTCTTCCACACTGGATTAGCAATAATAAAAGGGGCTTGTTTCTTAAGGAGACCAGAAGAGGCAGAACACACTCCAGCTGAAAAGCTGTAGGAGTCAGGCAAAGTTGAGGGATCGGCAAAGCAAAAGACCAGGGCACTCACCGGACTTCCCCAACAATCTCCCCAGCCAGGCCTTGCAGGCTGCTCCGAAGCTCCTCTACCTCCCGCCGCAGTGCCATAAGACTGGTCAGCACAAAGTCCAGGCGGTCCAGCACCTTCTCCTGTCCTTCCTGTGCGAGGCTGGGCAGCACTGCAGCATCTCCAGCTTCCCCCGGGATGGCCCGCAACTGCATTACTGAAGCACAGGGAACAGGAGACAGACACCCATGGGATTCGGTGTGCGTGTTTGGGGGTGGGAGGGATGGCTCAAACCTAAAATTCTAGAGCATTTGCTTCTCTTGCTCTGTTTTGTTTTTAGACAGGGTCTATGTAGCTCCAGCTGTCCTGGAACTCACTATGTAGACCAGAGAGATCTACTTGCCTCTGCCTCCTGAGCTGTAAGTTTAAAGGCATGCAACACTATGCTGGGCCATCTGCTTCTCCTGAAATTCAATCACAAAGAAGTAATTGAGCCTCTGAGGGCATACACTTCACAGCTAAGCCACAGTACAAGTTCCAGGTCACTATCCAGAAGGGAAAAGAGAAAGAAAGAAAACGGAAAAGTCCAGACCAATAAGATGACTCATGGGTAAAATTACTTGTTGCTAAAGCTAATGACCTAAATTCAAGCCCAAGTTCCACATGGTGAGGGAGGGAACAAACTCCTGCAAGTTGTCCTCTGATCTCCACACAGGTATGTTGTGGAATATGCCTACCACACCCTACCTACACACAGGTGTACATATACACATACACACAACCTCCCTACATACTGGTGTACACACACACACACACACACACACACACACACCACCTACACACCATTGTGCATACACACACAGACACACATAGGCCACCTACATACATGTGCACACACACATACAACCTTTAAGGCCCCAATCTCTAGAGAAAGACTATCTGGCTGGGCAGTGGTAGCACACACCTCTAATCCCAGCATTCAGGAGGCAGAGGCAGGAGGATCTCTGTGAGTTTGAAGCCAGCCTGGTCTAGAGAGTGAGCTCCAGGACAGCCAGGACTGTCTCACAAAGAAACCTTGTCATGAAAAATATGAAACAAAAAAAAAAAAAAAAAAAAAAAAAAGGAAAGAAAAAAGTAAAGAAAGACTATCTGCTTGAAAAACCATTAGAACCCAGCAGATATAATGTAAAATGCCTTTGAGGGTGTGGTGCTTGGAAGACAGGACAGCTGCTCTGCTAGAATCAAAGAAAAACCTTTGGCCAGGAGTGGTTGTGCTTCAGAGGTGGAGACAGGAGGATCAGAGGTTCAAGACTAGCCTCAGCTACAAAGTGTTTGAGGCTAGCCTGAGCTATGTGAAGCCCTGTCTCAAAAATACAAAAAGAAAAAAAAAATGTTTGTGGCTTTATAGTGCCAAATGCCAGGTAGTCGATACCAATTACACAGTAAAATAAAAATTGGGTTTGTTCAAATTCTGATCTCACAACAAATAGTAAACTGCCTTTCTTGAGGCTATAAACAGTGCTGTCAGAGAGGAGCAAAGAGAACATGTGGGCAGTCACCAAGAAAAGGTCCATGGAAAACAACCAGCCATCTTCATCAGAAAACATTGTTACCAAGCTCAAGCTGCTCACCCTGAACTGAGCTCAGCGAAATGTAGGGACCTGGTAGCCATTTACAGCAGCTAGACTGGAATGTGCACTAGAGAAGAACTCAAGGAGGCCCACAGAGGACCTGCACACACCTCTTAGTAAAGGCAATTAGTAGCCTCCTAGGCCAGCAGTACTCACGGCACAGCCGGGAAGATACTAGAATGTGTCTGCTTTCTCCCAGCCTCAGAGGAGAACGAACCACTACTAAGAAATTACAAATGAGCAAGGCACAAGGGAAGGAGAGAAAGACAGGACCCTGGCCATGCTACGTTACTACCATGTTATCAAATGCTGACAGCTGCAATCTAAGGTGATAGATAACTCTGGGAACACTTGTGCAGAACTGACATTTCCAGTTGGCAGAGAGTAAGAGGGTACCTGACTACATTGGCTGTCAGAGAAAACATGTTCAATCCACACAAAGGGAGAAGATCTAAGCAACAAGCACCTAGTACCCAAATAAGGCGGGCAGAGAGATCTGAAGCCCTAAATGCTTTGCTCAATTGAGTTAACCTGAAGGCTCTTTACGAAATGGAACACATTCAGTCTGTTCCTGCTGGCTTTCAGCCACTAGGCTTCAGCTGAGAGTGCGCTCTCAGCCCATGTTGTGGAAAGTACACTGGACCAAAAGGCCAGGTCCAGCTTTGCAACTTACTCTGTAACAACCCTGGCAAAGTTACACAATCCCTCTGCATTTTCCTTCATAAAAACGATTTCAAAAACTTGGATTACTCTCCAAATGTCCTTCACATTTTAATACATAATTTGATAGTCAAGCTTTCAGAGCTTTTCATTTTTACCAGATTATTCCTTTTTCTTTCTTTCAGACTGCCCCTCTGTCTATCACACTCCTCACCCAAGACTGAGCAAAATGCCCTCGGTACACATTCATGAGTTTGACCAGAACTAAAGGTGAAAGCTATCCATTCTTCTTACACCAAGCTTTCCTGGAATCAGAGGAGAGTACAGATTTCCTTCTCGATGCGTTTTCCTAAAAGAGTGAAACACAGCCCTTCCACCGCCCAGTCCACCTGCTCTGCCAAAGACAGCCCGAGCCCCAGGGCCATCAGTAAGTAATGGCCTGTGCTCTTACCTTGGCCCCCGCGCTCTGAAGCCTGCGCATAGTCCAGGGAATTGGGCAGACTGTGGCTCCGGCCATGGCGTTGGGCCCGTTTCCATCGCTGACTGTACAGGACGCACAGAAATCCAAGGCCGGCGGCAGTACCAAGTAACAGTCCCAACCCGGCGCGGGTGCCGCCCAGGGCCCCCAGTCTAGACATATTGCACCTGCAGCCGGCGTGGAAAAAAAGGAAAAAGAAAACAATCAAAGGGAGCGACCCGAGAGGGAGAGAATCATTAGCCTGCTCTTCTACCCCGAGGCAGAGCCCTTTGCCCACAGCCGCACCCAGGTCTGGTCCCTCCCGTGCCGCAGCTGCCCGGCGCAGACAGACGCCCTGCCAGGGGGTAGCAGCTCCGATCCATTGCGCCCCTGGCCTCCTCCCTGCAGCCTCGCAGCCCGCTGCACACTCTCGGCCTCCCCGCACCCCCGAAGTCACTCTGGCCCCAGGAGACCAACTCAGACCCTTACCCGGCCGCCAGCCACCATGGCAGCAGCAGCCACACCGGCCTCACGCTGTCAATGATCTTGACGTCCTTAATCCGCGCCACGTGCTCCGAGCACGGTGGGAATGCGCGTGGAGATGACGCATGGGCTCCGCCTCCACCTGTGCGGGAGCGGGCGGAAGCGGGAGCCGGCGGAAGCGGGACGGGCTAGGGAGTGCCAGTCTTCGGGGTGGAATTTGTTGTCCTGGCACTGGGTCCCTCGGCGCTGCTCCCAGAATGTGTTCCATAAATCTAACGCTGCCCATACCTGGAAGATGCCGCCCTCCACTGTCTTCCTAACACTGTCTTTATTTCTGGCTGACTTAGTCGTTTACGGATTTTTTATTCAAACCATTTACTAAACCCTAAACAACAGCTCCATTGCCAGAAGGAATTAGAGTAGATCAGTTGGCTATCCGCAAGACGTCCCTACTTCGCTGGACCCCGACTTCTGCCTGCTGCCACCAGGGAGGCTGCAGCTGGATAACTGCGAGTTCGGAGCTGGCCAGGACTCATAGTGGATCCCTGTCTCAAACAAAGCTACACAGAGAAACCCTGTCTCGAAAAATCAAAAAAAAAAAAAAAAAAAAAAAAAAAAAAATTTAATTAATTAAATTTAAAAAATAAATAAATAAAAGCAGGGCGTGGTGGGGCGCCGCACTGCTTTGATCCCGGCACTCAGAAGGCGGAGGTAGGCGGAGTTCGAGGACACCCTGGTCAACAGTAGCAAGTTCCAAGACAGCCAGGGCTATGCAGAGAAACTGTCTGGGATAATCAAAAAATAAATAAATACATTAATAAAAATCAATTTAAACCCCTCATATCATCGGACTGTTGGTGTAAATCAATGACAGAGCATTTGCCTATCATGCAAGCAGATCCTACGCCCAACTTGAGCTGAAATATTTATTTTTCTGTCCAGAAGAGAAAAAAATTAATTAATTTACCTGGCGAGGGTTTTTGTTTGTTTGTTTGGCTTGGTTTTGTTTTGTTTTTGCTGTATTTTGTAGTTTTTATTTTTTTGAGACAGGGTGTCTTTGTTAGTGTTATTATTGCTACTGGGGATAGGGGAGGAAAGCATTCATGTCACTCACAATTCCGTACAAGTTTCTCATCAAAAGCAGTCAGGGTGGGAGCTGAAGCAGGGCAGGAACCCAGAGGCAGGAGCTGATGCAGAGACCATGGAGGGTGCTGCTTACTGGCTTGCTCCTCACGGCTCATTCAGCCTGCTTTCTTATAGAACCCAGGACACCAGCCCAGGGATGTCCCCATCCACAATGAGCTGGGCCCTCCCCAACAATCACTAATTAAGAAATTGCCTTACAGAGCCAGGTGTGGTGGAACACATCTTTAATTCCACCACCCTGGAGGCAGAGGCAAGCAGATTTCTGAGAGTCCCAGGCCAACCTGGTCCACAATGTGAGTTCCTGGACAGCCAGGAATAATACACAGAGAAACCCTGTCTTGAAAATCAATTTTATGTAGGCATTTTCTCATCAGAAAGGCTTCCTCATCTCTGATGATTCTAGGTTGTGTCTAGTTGACATAAAACCCAGTCAGTACACAGTGTCTCACTATGTAGCCTTGGTTGATCTTGGAACCCGCTATGTAGGCCAGGATGTCCTCAAATTCACAGAGTTCCACCTGCCTTTGCCTCCCCTATGCAGGGATTAAGGCCTGCGCCACCACTCCTGGCTATCCATCAGTATATTTAAACTTGCATTTGATTCTGAGTGTTCAAACTGGTTCTGATGCCATACCCTTTCTGCTACCTTTGTCAGGGTATCACTATGTAGCCAGACTGGCCTCCAAAACTCTCCCTCCCCACCTCTGGCTTTAGAGACAGACTCTCAGGTCTCACAAATGCTAGGCAAATGCTGTACCAATAAACTACATCACCAATCTTTTTTTTTTTTTCTTGTACTTTTTAATTTGAGACCAGATTTCAAATTGCCCAAGCTAGCTTTGAATTCACTCTGTAGCACAGGCAGACCTTGAACTTGTGATGCTTTTGAATCCTCACTCTGCCAGCACCTGGGACTACAGGTCTTTGCCTTAAGGCTAAGCTCTGGCTTCTCTGATCTTCTGCTTTGCAAATGCTGGGATTACAGATTTGCCAGGCTCCGAATGTATTCATTCACATGTAAGGTATCTCACAATTTAAAGATAGACACAGGGTTAAGGATCAATAGATAACTAGCATTAAGGATTTTTGGAGGACTGGGCTAGGTATTTCCACTGTCATTAAACATTTTGGAGCCGGGTGGTAATATGCATGCCTTTAAACCAAGCATTTGGGAGGCAGAGGCAGGTGAATCTCTGTGAGTTCAAGGCAGGCCTGGTCCACAGAGAGAGTTCCAGGACAGCCAGAACTACACAGAGAAACCCTGTCTCAAACCCCTCCAAAACCAAAGCAAGCAAAGCAAAACATTGTGGCTGCATGAACCCTGGACATGACAAAGTTGGTGATGTGCTTGCAATGCAATAACTACATGTTAAACCTCAGAACTCATTGAGAAAGCTGGACACAGTAGCATGCATCTGTAATCTCAGCTCTACTATCAGAAGAACAGCCATGGAGACAAGAAAGACCCTGTAGACAGCAAGGACATATACCCTCAGCTGTCCTTAGGCCTCCACACTCACAAGTTTTGGACACAGAAACTAAGAACTAATATTTTAGTTAGCACACAAAATAGTGGGTTGTATTATGACACTTCATTTATAACATTTATAATATCTTCCATTGTCCTCTCTTGTACAACAACAATAATAATAACCATCATTATCATCTATAGAAAAGTTAGCTCAGCCAGGCTATGGTGGCTCACACCTTTATTCCCAGCACTCAGGAGGCAGAGGGTAGCTGATCCCTGTGAGTTCAAGGCCAACCTGGACTACAGAGCAAGTGCCAAGACAGGCTCCAAAGCTAACAGGGAAACCCTGACTCAAAAAAAAAAAAAAAAAAACAAACAAAACACCAAGAAACAAAACAAAAAAAACAAAAAAACAAAAAAAAAAAAAAAAAAAAAACAAGAAAAGTTGGCTCAAAAACTTTTTTTTTTTTTTTTTTTTTTTTTTACACAACAGGGTTTCTCTGTGTAACAGCCAAAGCTGTCCTGAAACTCACTCTGTAGATCAGGCTGGCCTTGAACTCACAGAGATCCATCTACCTGCCTCTGCCTCCCAAGTGCTGGGACCAAAGGCATGCACCACCATCACACGGCAGAGATTCTTAAAAGTAGACATATCAATTTTGTCTGGCAAAGTAGTCACCCAGAGCTGGAGTGACCCAGTCTGGTCTCTAGGTCACCCCAAGGGCCACCCACTTTTCTGAGTTTTGAGCGGCTCCGAGGAGTCCTGGGCTAACAATGGAGCTGATCTGGTGGGAGCCCATACCCTGGTCTCCTGGTCTCCCAAATTCACTTTAGGTCTGAGTAGCTCTGCCTGGAGTCTAGCCCTGCTCTCCTGTTGAAGCCATGGTTGAGTACCTAACTTCAGATGTTGCTGAAGAGTGGAGATGGGGAACTTGGAGCTATAGAGATGAACCCCATCTTACAGGGGCCACAGCTTCCCTCTTTGTAGTCTCTGCTGGACTTGCCATCTTTCACAAGGTGCCTGAAGGGACCATGGGATGGCTTCTCTGTCTATCATTGCGTGAACTTTTTCCTGGGAGGGGTGGCGACTATTGGACCCCACACACACACACAGAATAGGTGTACTGGAGAGTGGTGATGGAGAAGTGTGGATGTCACAAACATCGGGGCCTTTCAGATTAAGTCTGGGATGAGGTAGGACAGCATCTGGAAACCAAGGCACATGAATAACGGCAAACCACTGCGAATGTGCAGTGTTTGGCAAACTGTCTTTTAGTACGAACTATGTGCTCATGACAAGCTCTTCATACGTGTGCTAACATGGGAGGGATCTGAAGTACAATACAGATTTCACAATAATCTCGATGGACGTGGGTCATCATTGTTCTTCCATTCTAAATGTGAGGGAACTTACTGGAGTAAAACTGTGAGGGATGGATCTGGAAAAAATCAACACACGTAAAGAAATACAAAATGAAAAGGTTGGGTATTAAGGCACATGCCTTTAATCCCAGCACTCAGGAATCAGGGGCAGGAGGATCTCTGTGAGTTTGAAGCCAGCCTGGTCTACAGAGCGAGTTCCAGGACAGCCAGGGCTACACAGAGAAACCCTGTCTGGAAAACAATAGGAAACAAAAACAAATATGTAAAATAAGTAAATAAATAAAAATGAACAAAAATTGGCACATAATAATTGTGCATATTTATGGGACACAAAGTAACACAAGACCATATTTCAAAAGGGAAGAACAGACCAGTGACATGGCTCAGAAGGCAAGGACGCTGGCCACTGAGGAGGACACCTGAGTTCACCTGCATCTGACAGTGGAGAGAACAGACTCCTGAAAGTTGTCTCAAAATTTGTCCTCAAAGCTTACCTGTACTAGGGTTGGGCATGGTGGCTCATAACCTGCAATCCTGGGCAAAAGCAGGAGAATTCAGCCCAAGTTCAAGGCCAGCCTGGCCTATATAGTGAAACCCTGTCTCAAAAAGACAAAGGAAAGGAGCAACAGAGAGGCAAAGGATTCAGCTCCAGCATCCTTGTTCCCTGCAGCTGAAGCAATCCATAAAAGCTGGCGGGAAGGAGGGAACAGGGGGGCCAGGCAGGCAGTCAGGCAGGGAACTCATTTCCTCCTGGATATTAAAGATGATATCAGGCAGGAGTGAGTCTGCCAGAGAGCTGGTGCTGTGATGGGCTGTTCCAAACAGAGCTCTATCTCAAGCTGCATCAGCACACCAGTTTTGTGAATGCGACAAAGCAAGGCCTGGCCCCACCCTGGATCACCTTCCCACCCTCCATAGCCCAGCTGAGAGGTAAGCAAAACAGACCCCAAACTCCTGCCCAGTCCAGAACATCTGACTCATCTGGCTGGCTCTGCCCCAAAAGGTGACACTGTAGTGCCTTGTGATGGTAGCCTTATGTGGTATCCGATTTCTAAGGTTCTTCACACACACACACACACACACACACACACACACACACACACACACACGGGGGGGGGGGGGGGAAGAAGAATGTCTTGGGACTGGGAGACAACTAAGTTAAGTGTCTACCGTGGAAGCATAAGGTCCTGAGTTTGGATCTCCAGCACCCAAGTAAAATCCAGGCAAGGTGACCTAGAGCTGGTGGGGAGGATGGGCTGTGGAGGCGGATCCCCAGACTCATTGGCCAGTCAGGAAGGGTGGACAGACTAGAAAGGTAGCCCACTGGTAAAGAATGCTTGCTGTACAATCATGAGGAGGTGGTTTGGATGCCAGGATGCCTCCCACCCATAACCCCAGACAGCCAGCATCGACCTCTAGCCTCTAAACAAATATGTAATACCCACATAAGTGTGTAGTGAGGTATCCACCCCTCTCGTGCTTGCTGCACTGACCCCGCCCATTGGGATAAGGGGACAGGTGCAGGCATGACTTTGAGGAACTAGGTCTGGGGTCCAGGACCCCAGCTTGCTCTTACTTCCTGGCCGGAGACAGAGAGTATCTGGAGGCATCCTTGGCACAGGAACCTGCGGCCATCATCAGTTTCTGGTGTAAGTGATTTCTCCCCGAATAAACATCCATCAGCCTATTGTTTCCCAGATTCTTATTTACCATGCTTTATAAATGCACACACACACACACACACACACACACACACACACACACACACACACACACCTTAATTTTAGGGCTCAGTCAGCTACAGCTCCGTAGGTAGAGGGACCACTTAGCACGCACAAAGCCCTGAGTTTGATACCCAGCATTACAGAAACCATCTTCAGGTGGCTCACGCTTGTATCCTCAGGATTTGGAAGCCTGAGGCAGAAGGATTGCTGAGACTTCAAAGCCACCCAGACTACATAAGGAGCTCCACAAACAAAAACTGAGAAATAAGCTGTCATAAGTCCTCATTTCTCTTCTGTCTCAGAGGTAACAGCTCCTGGATAGAATACTTACCTCTTTTGTCTGTTCTTTTTTAACTTTTGAGCACACATTTTGAAGAAATAAAAGGAACAGCACTATGGATGCAACCCTGAAGGGCCCTCTCAGACTCTTGTGACACGTAACTCTAATCTTGGCACTAGAGGCCGAAGCAGGAAGAGTGCAGGTTCTGGGACATCTTGGGCTACCTAGGGTGAGTAGAGAGGGAGGGGGAAGTGGGGAGAAAGGATAGACGGGAAAGGAATGGGAGGGAATGGAGGAGGGGGACAGAGAAGGGGAGAGGGGTGGGGAAGGAAGAGGCTTTCAAAACGAAGTCAGGGTGCCATCAAGGGCTCAGGGCTTAGGCATGTCTCAGGCTTCTGCTTAAGAACTTGAACCCCACCCTTCAGCTGCAGGCCTCTGAGAGGACCAGATAATTACAGTGTGCCCAGAGATCCAAGATGTTTATCAGGGTGCAGCTGACTCCTGCTTCAGGGACAGTTCCAGTGTCTGTGGGTCACAAGGTCCCTGTCAAACAACATCTGCATCCTTTCTCAGCTCCAGGAGTAGTTTCTTCTTAAATAATTGGTAACTTACCGATCCGTCTTCTGGTGTTTTGTTTTGTTTTGTTTTGACAGGATCTCATTTTGTAGCCTGTGCTCACCTTGAACTCTTGCCAAATGCTAAGATAGACACTTTCAGTTATGGCTACAATTAGGTTGAGTGTCCCTCATATCTATGTGTCAATGACTTGATCTAGAGGGTGGCATTACTGGGAAATGGTGACGCTTTAGGAGGTTAAGGTCTGCAGTCGCAGGTGGTGGTGGCGGGACCCTTGTAGAGGTCAGGAGGCCCCAGCCTCTCTGTGTCCTGGACTCGGGGCACTTTATCCCTTCCACATGCTCCCACCAAGGTGCACTGTCCTCACCCGAAACTAGAGTGGACTCCACAACGCCGGACAAAACGGCCTCTACCTCTAGTTAGGGTGTGTGCGTGCATGTGTACACTCGTGGAGGCCAGAGGCAGGCATTGAGTGTGCTAAATTGCAAGTCACCTGTTTCTTTGAACCAATCTCTCCCTGAACCTGAAGCTCACGTCTTCTCATGTAGGTTGGAAGCCAGCGAAGACCAGTGGCTCCCCTGTCTCTGCCTCCCCATAAGTTGGGCTATGGGCATTGGTGGAAATATCTAGCTCGTTACATAGGTTCTGGGATCCTAAGGTTCTCATGATTAGACAGCAACCAATCATGCTCTTCAAAGCCGTGCCAGTTTGGTTGGTAGGTTGGTAGGTTTTGGGTTTGGGTTTTTTGTTTTGTTTTGTTTTCTGGAGACATTCTTTCTATGTAGCCCAGGCTGGCTGCAATTCCCAATCCTTCATCCTTCTGCCTCCTGAATGCAGGGCCTTTCCCCCTTTATTAGTTAAGCATCTCAGGTGGTTTGGTACTGCAACACGACGCTGACTAATCATCTTGTGATGCGTTGTCTTTTCTGTCAGTGTAAGCTTTACTTTCCCTACTCCCTTTGGAACATTGACTCAGCCTATCCACGCCTATGTCTCCCAAGTTACAGTTCCCACTACCCCCACATAAGGCTCCCTTATGTTCTGTTTTTAGACAGGGTAGGTTCTCACTATGTAGCCCAGGCTGTCCTCCATGCTCCCATGCAAGCATTAGCCAGACCTGGCTGACGAGCTTTTGAGAGGAGATCAAGCATGTTCAGGATGACCTAGACTGCCCTCCAATTCCGTGTCCGGAACTCAGCCTGCTGAGTGCTGGAATTACAGATGCACCTCATCCCTGGCCTTCAGGGCTATCTAGGGAGGCTTGGTTTTGTCACAAGGGGTGAACTTTGATTGTATCAGTCACAATCTGTGATCTCAACGGAAGTGTTTTCCGCTGTCGGACAGCCCTTCAGCCAACTCTTGTTTTCAGTCTTTTCTTCTCCTTCATTTTTTTTTGGGGGGGGGGAAGAAAGGCTTTTTTATTTATTTGTTTGTTTGTTTAGGTTTATTTTTATTTATGTGTTGGTGAGTGTGGAGGCCAGGAAAGGGCATTGGCTCTCCCGGAGCTGGACTTACAGGCTCTTGTGAGCCACCTGCTGAGTGCTGAGACCTGAACTAGAGTCTGCTGGAAGTTCTTCACTTCTGAGCCCTCTCTCTAGTCCCATGGGGCAGGGGGGCTTTTTTGAGACAGTATTTCACACTGCCACAGGCCGCCCGCAATCCTGTCTCCTGAGTACTAGGATCAGAGGTGAATCCCCTCCCCCGCCATGGGACATCACTATGTTGCCCTGGTGTTTAACTTCAGTGTTTTCCTGCCTCAGTCTCTGAAGTAGCAGGACCCACAGCTGAGCACCACACACCTGGCAATCTTAACAAATGTTAAGGGTTTTTCCTTTCTTACCTACCCTCTCTATCTCCCCCTCCCTGCTGTGATAAAATACTCTGCTATAAAAACAACTTAGGGAGAAAGGGTTTATTTAATCCTAGCTCAAAGTACACCAAGGCAGGGCGTCAAGCGCCACCATGCCTGCCTTGTGTGGTGCTGGGGGTTCGAACTCACGGAACCATTGAACCATGCCCAGCTCTTGCAGGAGTTCTTTATAGGTTCTATGATTAGGCTTCTATTTTTCCCTCCCAATACTGGGGGTTGAACTCTAAACATGGATGTGCCTTATTCCTCTAGCTAAATCGTTGGGGTGAGAGAGCTGGTCCGGGGCAGGAAGAGACGATATAAATAAAGCAGACCAGTTAGGTGAGAAGTTTCCAGGCTGGGAGCTGGGGTGTTCCCCGTGTGATTTGCTCAGCTTTGCTTTTTAGGGAACCAATCACAAGGTGTCGATTGAAGAATGTTGAACTGTCAGCTTCCAGTGCTTCTAGATGAGGGCGTGGACCAGCTGGCTGTGAACTCATCGCCCTCCCTTGGGTATCAGGTTCAGGAATGATGTTTCTCTGCCTCAGGTGGTACCCTGTGATCTGAGAGTGCTCCCGAGGCTCCCGCCGGGGGCGGGGAGGGGGGGGGGACGGACTGGCGCCCAGCCAAGCGTGCAGTTGCTTCACAGACTGAATGTACAGGGCCAAAGGCGTGCAGGGATCCGCAGCCACACTGAAAATGACAGAGCTCGGAACGGGCGACGGCGCAGAGACCTGACACTCTCGTGCACTTAAGTTCTCCGGAGGCGCGTCCTGGTAAAGGAGCGCAGTCCCCAAGTCGGTTGGCTGCAGCCGGGTCCACGGCGCAGTTTTTGCATTGCACTGCTGTAGGGACAGGCGGGAAGCCTCAGGCATCCGCCTGACTTTTGACCTTCGCGTGGACGTGTTGCAGGAAGAGGGCAAAGGGGCGACAGGTGCCCTGGCCTTCACGACCACAACTGATAGTGGACACGCCCGCCTCCAGTTCTCCCGGGCGGCGGGACCGCGGCACGCGCTCCTGATTGGCCCGCGCAGTGGCCGCACCGCCTCCAAGCGCCGCCTGCGGACAAAGAAAGGAATAACGGGACTGTGGTCGCCGGCCGCCCCAGCCACGCATCATGCCCTACCTGCTCATTAGCACCCAGATCCGCATGGTGAGTACCCGGGGTGGGTGACTGCGATAGCCACTCTGCCGGACTTCCCTGATGGCCCCGCAACCCGCCCTCCACACCCCCCGCGGTGCGAACATTGAGCATGGTCAGGCGGGCTGGCTGGGCAGGGAGTTCCGCGGCGACACCCACCACCCACTGTACAAGTGCTGCAGCCTGGACCCGCACGAAGGCAAAGGCCACGCTAAGCAGCACGCACAGTGGCTGCACCTGTAGCTCCTGCCAGAGGGCTAGTTCTGATGCACAGAAAAAACTCGGGGCTTGAGAGGAAGGAGAGGGATGCAGGTGGCCTGGGGAGAGCACCACGAGGGAGTGTGAGGTCACCCTTCTCTAGGTGCGGTTTCCTCAGCTGGCAGGAAAGGGTACTGTGCTGGATGCTTCAGAAGCCCCTTTGTAACTTTCAAAGGATACATGATGCCCCCTCCCCCAGATGAAAGGCAGGGTGCGCTCTCGTCCCTGTCCAGTGCTCCAGCAGTGGGTAACATACCTTAACTTCCACAAGGTGATGCGGGAACCGTGGGCTCATCATGGAGCAGCAGAGGTTTGGCAGTGCCCAGGGAAGAGGTCTGAGAACCTTACCGTTGTTAAAATATGGATTGCTGGGCATTTTCCCCAGACCTTCAGAAACTTTGGAGAATGTGGGAATCTAAGCTTGGAAATGTCCCCCTCAAATAATAATTATTCTCCTTTTAATTCTTTCCTTTTTTCTTCATGTAGCACAGGTTGGCCTCAGATTTGTTATGGATTGGAAGCTGGCCTTATTTCCCAAGTGCTGGATTTAGAGGCAGGCATGTCCCACCAGGCTTGGCTCTCTTATAGTTTTATTGATATGCAATGCAACCAAAGCAATCATTGGTTGAAAACATACCATTTAATATCTGTGAGAGCTTTTGTTTTAGTATAGTCAGAGCTGTGCACCATCATTTTGATCAATTTTAATGTGTCCATGAGCTCTAGCTACTAACTTTACGTTAGTTAGCCTGTGTGTTCTCCTGGGTCTGAATGCTTCCATGTCCATGTTTTCAAAGCCCATTCATACTGTTACATGTACCAGGATGTCACTCCTGCCTAATAAGATTCTATCCTGAGGCTACACCACTTTCTTTTTCACAACAGTCTCACCTTATAGCCAAGCCTGCTCCCCAAGCTAGCTTCCTCCTCTCTCCGCCACCACCTTTTTCTATTAGAATTGCAGGCTTGCCATTTTGGTTTTGTTTGTTTTTGTTTTGATAGCTCTGGCTGTCTTGGAACTCATTCTGTAGGTCAGGGTGGCTTCGAACTCACAGAGATCCACTGGCCTCTGCCTCCAGAGTGCTGGGATTAAAGGTGTGCACCACCACTGCCGGGCTACGACTTGCCACATTTTACTTCCGTGCTCATCAACTGGCCAGCATTGGAAGATTGTTTCACCTTTTGGCTGTTATGGGTAGCTCTGCTAGGAACATGCTTTCCTGTTGTCCTTTTGTTTTTCAATTTGGTGGCGACTGTAAATTGGGAAAATTGCGTGACTGTGTATAAATTTGTACATTCACGTCTTTCATTCTCCAGGTGACGCCAATACACAGGAAAGATGACTGGTTGGTGGCATCTGGCTTGAAGGAGCAATAGGCAGCAGTTTAGTTAGGGAGAACTTACCATGCTCTCCTCTCAGCTAGTGCTCCGCCTCCATTGGTCTTCAATATGGCTGCCCTTTACCGTAGGGCCAGTGGGGAGGGGAAACAAGGAGGACGGTCCACTTCTGCCCCGCAGCCAGCTGAGCAGCTCCTGTCTTACCTTGCAGGAGGTGGGCCCCACCATGGTGGGCGATGAGCATTCGGATCCAGAGCTGATGCAGCACCTGGGGGCCTCCAAGAGAAGTGTCCTGGGAAACAACTTGTAAGTAGCAAGCACCTTCTTTCTCCCTGGCTGTGCCTCCTCCTGCCTTTCCCTTTACACAACCCTCATCAAGCTACTGTCGGACTTGCTCTCACTCACAGTGCCCCACAGGGCCACACACTTAGTGAGTTTCACACATACCCCCAGCCTTCCTTCACAGAGCTGCTCGCTCATCCTCAGTGGAAGTCTGGGGCAGCCTGCCCTCAGGCTGGAGCTCTAGAAATGAAGTTTCTTGCCTTGTCCTCTCTGCTCTAAATTGGATCCCATCAGCAAAGACAAAAGCTTTGCCTTTAAGAGCTGCCTGAGTAACAGAGCCTGGCCCCAGAAATAGAGCAGGACATCTGGGTCCTCTCTCCGGCTCCTGGCTGCCTGGCATTTGGCCATTTCCCCCAGGATCCTTCACATCATCTCTGTATCTAAACACCATGGCTTCCTTTCCTGCTTCCCCATTCTATTGCTGGGAAGAGACACCATGATCAAAGGCAACTCTTAGAAAGCGTTTAACTGGGGACCTGCACTGAGTGAACCCATAACCCAAATGGCAGAGAGCACGCAGGCAGGCAGGAGGCAGGCAGGGAGCCACCTCCAGTGACACACGTCCTCACAAGGCCAGTTTCTAATGCTCCCGCAACAGTGCCACTAGCTGGAGACCAAATATCCCTTACACAGTCTGTGGGGGCCACTCTCATTCAACCTAACACACTCCTGCCACGAGGAAGAAACTCCAAGTGGGTTCAGGGAGCCTCAGAAGTGCCAGCGTCTCAAGTACAGAAGGGAGGGAAGACAAACAGCCCCCTGATCAAGGGTGGGAGGTGCCAATCCCATCTCTTCCCAGGAGGCATTTGCTTCAAGATGCCACTTGGGGTTTGGGCCTCTTATCCACCTCACCCTTTTCACAACTCAAGGGAAATCAGACTTTCTGTGCCAGCAAAGGGCACAGGGATCCAGGCGCTACCAGTGCTAACCTTATTTTCTGCGCCAGGACTGCAGGGCAGCTAGAGAGGGCCTGAGTCCCCAAGAGGGCACACTGCCTAGTGGGGTGCTCAGACTAACACACACAGTGTGGGCTACCATGGGGTCTGTTCTTCACAGCTGGCAGAGCTAACCGGCCTGCTTTCTCATGTATCATCAGACTGGAGCGAAGTGTGTAGCAAGGCACAGAGCAGAGGACGTGCATTTAGCCTGTCACCAGATAAGTGCCACACACAGGCCTGGCACTGAGTAGACACTAGCTTTGTCTGGCTACCTGCACTGTGCCTTCTGATGCCGCTCTCCTGTCTCTTTACAGTTATGAATACTATGTCAACGACCCTCCTCGCATAGTCCTGGACAAGCTGGAACTCAGGGGCTTCCGTGTGTTGAGCATGACAGGGGTGGGCCAGACGCTGGTGTGGTGCCTGCACAAGGAATGACCTGGCTGAGCTGACCTGTGGGCAGGGCATCCATTCTTTGGAGGACCTACCGTGTGCCCTGACCCCAAATCCTTGCAACATCGTCTGCCCTGCCTCTGTCTTTCCAAATTGTCAGCTTCCTTGTCCAACACTGGCGGGCTGTGAACAGCCTGAGGGACCTTTCTCCAGTTGGTTGGGCACAGCAGACCTTTGCCCTGGTGCTTTCAGGCCCCTCCTCCCCCGGCTGTAGACCATGTGCTGAAGGCAGGCTACCCAGAGGACACTCCCTGGATCCTGCACAGCTAGTCCAAACCAATAAAAGGCTCTCATGAGTGGATGTCCTTCAGCTTTGCTGTAGTAATTCTTGAAATGCGACATTCTTTCTTGGTCCCTATTCATGGCTGAAGCCATTGGTCAGAATGGAACTCTCTCAGAAAAAGCCCAGCACAAGACAAAGAAAAGTAAACTGTTGATTTTTTTGTTTTGTTTTGTTTTTGAAGTTTATTGGGGATGATTCCGAAAAGGGTGTGGAACGGGAGAGTTGGAACTAGGGCTACGTGGGCTGCCCCTCATCTTCCTGCTGCATCCGGGCAATCAGCTGCTGGCGCTCAGCGGCCTGGCGCATGCGCATCATGACAAGACTCTCGTAGTCCCTTTCTGACAGCACTGAGCCCTGGGGACAGAAGGGACAGAGAGAAGTCAGGCTAGCAGGCACAGCCCCACAGATTACAGACTTAGTATAGGGCCTGGACTGAGCCAAGTCTAAGCTAAGAGCCCAAGAGGAAGAAGCACAGAGTAAGGACAGAGTAAGGATCCAGACATCTTGGGTTCCAACTCCTCTAGGAGTCTTCAGAGAACGCAGGCTGTGCACGCCAGGCTGCTTCTCCACCAGCTCCTTTCAGCTCATCTCGAAGCTCCCCCAGACTCCCTTTACCCAGGGTGTCTCAGCTCTCTACATGCGGCTCTGGTTCAGCCCTTCCTCGTGAATCACTTTCCTGTGCGCTGGCCTGGCCCTCCCATTTCATTTCCTCAGCCTTATCTGCCGCTCTTTCCTTCCACCCTGGGCTTCTGCCTGGCAGGTTTCCAACGGAGGAGGATATGTGAGGTGCAGGGGTTCTCTAGACTCTGATGGACACCCCAGAGCACTTCCCCCTGTGGTCTGGCTCCTGCTGAGGCTACAGAAGGGGGCCTTGCCCTCCACACAGCCTCAAAGGGCCCCCACTCCAGATGAGAAAAGCAAGCATGAGCCCAGACTGCCTCATAAAGACACAAAACCAGGCCACTATAGGGCAGGGTCCTTGCCCTTCTTTTATGGTCTTGCTAGCCATGCAGGGGAGTGAGGAGGGTACACTTTCATAACCCAAGAACAAGACAGGCACCAATGGGCCAAGGCTGAGGAAGTGCCAAGCCCAGTCTGTCAGGGCCAACGGTATGAATCAGACCGTTTCCTCCCCAGCTCGGCTGGAGCTGTGATACCCCTGATGATCCTACAATGGATAAAGGGGTGGGAAGCCCACTGGAGTTGGCACAGAGGGAAGCCAGGACAGCGGTTGCAAGTGTGGCAGCCCATCTGTAACAAAAGAGTTGTGGAGTCCTGCTGCGGCACCCCACACTGCTAGAAGGCTTGGAAATCAGTGGCCCAGGGAGTACCACGGGAGTGGCTGGTTAGGCTGCAGATAAACAGGAAGCGATACCCAGTCTGGTCCCCTGTCCTCATGCCTTCCCCACCCCTAGGAATACCCCTTTCCAGCCGCCCTCTCCCCGACCACTGGCAATTCATGGCAGCCTCACACATCCTGGCCCCCTCTACAAGGGCGTCCCCAAAAGAGGCTCACAAGCCAGAGAGAAAGGACAGGAGCATCTCAGGAGCAGCAGAATGCTGGCCTTCTGGGGTGAAGAAGAGAATAAGAATAAGAAGTTGAGAGGTCGTACTGCTGCCCCAGCTGTGGGGAGGGCACTGCTCCTTCCCCGAGTTCATATTGCTCTACCAAGAAAACTTCGAGTCACTCCTGGCATGCCCCCAGCACCTTGGGAGGAGCAAGCCCTTTACAGGCATGGGGCTGTTCCCTGTTGACACACCCTCCACATCCTTCCCCACCATTCCTGTGGCCTGGCTAATGAGGGCCTGTCAACCTGCCCAAGGGCTGAGTCACCCACACCAGCAGGCCTCCTGTCCTCCTTCCCCAACAATTGTTCCGAAAGTTGCCTTTCGATGAGCACTACCTCCCTGGGCTCTTCCCAGAGACATCTGGGGCTAGAGAGCCAGGCGGGCCTGCTGGGGGTCACAGTGGAGGAGCTTTGACTAGAAAGGAAGTAACCTGGTGACACACCAAGCAGGGCTGTCCCCAGACCAGTCCCCAGAGGAATCTGAATCGTCCTACTGCCCTGGGGTGTTGGTCCCAGCTGCCCCAATCCCAGCCAGCGGATGCTGCAATTACCTCAGAGCATGAAACCAGCTTCCCACCTGACTGAGTCAGCTGAAAACAAAACACATCTCTACCACACGCTGGCACAAACAGCCAAGCCACTAATCAGAGTCCCCAGATGCTGGCAGAGAGGGCAGTCCTCCACTGCCAGGAGATCGGCACATGCCAGGAGCCACCAGCCAGAGGGTGACGCGGGGCCAAGCTGCCGCCTGCCTGTAGGAGTGCTGCTCCCCTCCGGAGGTCCAAGCCTGCCCACCAGCCCTCAGCCTTTCTTTTACTCCGCTCGGCTCAGTAAGTACTGCTGCTTCCTTTGGTTTTTTCCTACATGCTGATGATCAAGTAACCAGGCCACTCTTATCTAGGTGGGAACTCCTAGCACTCTGATCTCCGGGACAAAGTCTCCCTCTTGCTAGTCTTGCCTCCGCTTCTAGCCTTGAGGGCATCGCCCCACTTCCTGGCCCCCAGCACTCTAGCAAATGGTCACAAGCTGCTGCTGAGCCCTTCTGTGGGATTTCTCAGATGCCAGACCTGCTGGCTGACTGAGGAGCTCCATGGAGACTTGGCAGAAAGGCTCCTTCCGCAATGCCTCCTTCTTCAAGAGAATGACCCTGGGGCGGCCACGGCGACTGCGGCGACAGGGCAGCACACTTAGCCAGGCCAGCACTGCTGCTGGTGACCATGAAGAGTACAGCAACCGAGAAGTCATCCGGGAACTTCGAGGGCGGCCAGATGGCCGCCGTCTGCCCTTGTGGGGGGATGAGGAGCCCCGAGCCACCCTGCTGGCTCCACCCAAGCCCCCACGTCTCTACCGAGAGAGCTCCAGCTGCCCCAACATTCTGGAGCCCCCAGCAACCTACACCGCTGCCTACGCAGCCACCCTGCCTTCAGCAATCTCCCTGACAGGCCCCCTCCACCAATGCTCAGATGAGGACCTTTTGGATACTCCCCCTTTCCCAAGGACACCTACTCCAGACCTCAACGACCCTTTCTTTTCCTTCAAAGTGGACCTGGGGATTTCACTTCTGGAGGAGGTTCTACAGATGCTAAAAGAGCAGTTCCCCAATGAGCCCCATTTCTGACCCCGGCGAGGGCAGAGAGAACTAGGGAGAAAGGCACAATGTGGATTACGGAGCAGGTGGAGATACAAGCCGCAGTTCAGCCTGCCCTGAGGCACCCAGGGTGAAGGGACTGAAGCCAGCTGGGAATGTATGGGGTCACTTTCTGGCAGGAGCCCTGAAGGAAGCTGGGAAGGTCAGGAAAAGGAAGCCACACCTGCAACCACAGGAACCGGTGGGAGGTCCGTGGAGAGACAGGGTGGCACGGGGCAAGTCAGGGAGTAGGACTCAGACTGGGCAGGACAGAGAGGGCACTGCACCAGCCTCTAAAGCCACCGTCAACAGAGGAAGAAGTAATCTAACTGAGACAGTCACCACTCTTCCTGTGATTGATTTAAGTTCAGTCCCACAGGCTAGAACTGGCTCTGTGGGCCCAGAGCTTGCTGTTCCAGCAAGAGCCCAATAAAAAAAAGTGGAGAGAAATCGAGAAAGATACCTGACATCAACTCTGGCCTCACTTTCTTGTACGTGCGTGTGTGTCTCTCTCTCTCACACACACACACAGAGCATACACACACACACACACATACACCATACAGACATACACACAAACACACACAACATACAGACACACGCACAGAGCATACAGACACACACACAGAGCATACACACACACACACAGAGCATACAGACACACACACAGAGCATACAGACACACACACCATACAGACACACAATCACAGAGCATACAGACACACACACAGAGCATACAGACACACACAGAGCATACAGACACACACACAGAGCATACAGACACACACACACACCATACAGACACACACACCATACAGACACACACACACAGAGCATACACACACACACAGAGCATACAGACACACACACAGAGCATACAGACACACACACAGAGCATACACACACACACACCATACAGACACACACACACAGAGCATACACACACACACAGAGCATACAGACACACACACAGAGCATACACACACACACAGAGCATACAGACACACACACCATACAGACACACACACACAGAGCACACAGACACACACATACACACACACCATACAGACACACACACACACACCATACAGACACACACAGAGCATAGACACACACACACACCATACAGACACAACCCAAAAGAAAGAAAATTCAGTTCCTTTCACCCTAGCCAATTTTTGTTTACTTTTGAGACAAGGTCTCTCAGTAGTGAGGGTGGCCTTAAACTGATGCCGCTCCCACCGCCACCTCCTGAGTGCTGGGATTTCAGGTATGTGTCACCACACCCACCTGGGGGTCAAGCTCAGGGCTTCATGCATGCTAAGCAAGTACTCTACCAAAATAAGCCACACGCCAGTACTCTAGCCACATTTTAAGGATGTTTTCAAAAGTGTGTGTGTGTGTGTGTGTGTGTGTGTGTGTGTGTGTGTGTGTGTGTGTGTGTGTACATAAGTATATATTGGTACCTACAGAGGCCAAAGGTGTTACGATGCCCCTGGAACTAGAGTTACACCCAATATGGTTGCTAGGAATTGAACTCAGGTCCTCTGGAAGAGCAGTATGTGTTCTTAATTAAAAGCCAGAAGCAAGGGTAAGGAAAGGAAGACGCTGGCCCCAAACTTCAAGTGCAGGAGGGGCTGACAGAGCGGGAGAGGCAGGCAGGGGAAAAATCAGGTGAAATGCCCAGTCGTTGGCAAAACAGGCAGCATGAGACTCCAGCAGCTCACAGACCCCCAAGCAGTCTCTGGGAGGGAGAGCTGGAACTAAAGGTGTGCACCATGTCTGGTATGGGCTTCATTGGTAGCATGTGGGTTAATTATGAGCAGGACCCTGGGTTTAATACAGTGCCAGAGAAAAAAAAAAAAAAAAAAAAAAAGAATGAGAAAACTGCCAGGTGGTGGTGCAAGCCTTTAATCTCAGCATTTGAGAGGAAGAGGCAGGCAGATCTCTGAGTAGGCCAATTTGATCTCTATAGGGAGTTCCAGGACAGCCAGGGCTACATAGAGATACCCTATCTCCAAAAACCAAAACCAAAACAAAAAACCCAAAAAATGAAAGAAAGGAAGGAAGGAAAAGGAAGGGAAAGGAAAGGAAGGAAAAGGAAAGGAAGGGAAAGGAAGGGAAGGGAAAGGAAGGGAAAGGAAAGGAAGGGAAAGGAAAGGAAGGGAAAGGAAAGGGAAGATGAAAGACTCCATGATAGGAGGCTCTGGTACCTCAGGGAGAACAGGAATGGGCAGGGAGTCAGCCCTCCTGCCTGGGCTGGTGAGCCTACCCAGCCCATTCTACCCTTATCTGGACTCGGTAAGAAATGGCCTGAGAAGGTGGCTGGAGAAGGTCCCAGACCCCAAGCAGACCCAGCTGGGGGACTCCTGGCTTTTTACCTTTGATAATCCTGTGTCACTGGGGTCCACTGTAGCCTGGGGCTGTCCCTCCAACCAGGAAATCTTCAGAGGGTTGTCCACCAGGCCCACTTCATTTCTGACAGCCAGTTCCTGCCAAACAGAGTATCTAGTCTATGTCCCGCCTGACCTAGCTATAAGGGGCCTCTCTACCCCACAGACAGACTAAAAACAACATTCCAGGCCCCTGAACCTGCAAACAATACTATGCTGAAGCTGTGACTCTTGTGGGAGTGTGGAGGATATGCACCTTCTGATTTGGAGAAACAAGAAAGAATATTCCTGTTGGGAGACCTGTTGGGGGTGCAGGGAAGGGGGGCATGCTTGGGCAGGATGGGAGGCCATGCTGGTGTAAGGTTGGGGGCCATGCTGGTGCAGGGTGGGAAGATCATGTTGGTGCAAGGGGGGAAGAGGGGTTCATGCTGGTGCAGGGTTGGGAAGGCCATGCTGTGCAGGGTGGGGGGCCATACTGGTGCAGGGTGGAGGGTGTGGTATGGAACCAGCCGGAGCGAAATAAGTCAGAGCATTCTCCCATGCAATCTTGAAGCCAGGAGAACTTTTGGGGAGATTCAACTATTGGACTGGCCTAAAGACCAATTGGCAGTGTAGAGCCACAAAACTGGACCCCGGCCCAGGATGACAGGACTTGCCAGTGGCCCCCAAACCACATACAGCACTCACCGCAGCCCGGACACTTGCAAATTCCACTATGGCATTGCCTGCCTTCTTTCTGGAAAGCACCAGGTTAAGAACCTCTCCATACTGTGGGGACAAGAGAGCCACAGTAAGTGTGACTGGACATAGAGCGTAGCCCATTATACCTCAGTCCAACCCTGAAATTAGTTATTATTAGGGACCCAGAGAAGCAAGGTTGGAGAGTTAGTTTTCATTTCCTGAGATATATTAGGACAGCAAAGGTAAGATGTGTAAGCACACTGAGACCTAGGCAAGTACACAGCACAGCTGCCTCAACTTCTAGAAGCAGGAAAGAGGGGGGCCTTTCATTCCAGACACACCTCCTCTCCCCAGCACCTCCAGCGAAACCCTGAGCATCAAGGAAACGGCTAGGCTTAGACAGGGAAGGAGCTGGCCAGAGGGACACATGATAACTCAAACGATGGGAGAACTGGCCTAGGGGAGTCTCTACATTGACCCATGGTTAGTTATGAGACAGACAAGAAAAGAGTAGGTAGCCACATTAGAAGTACAGGGGCTTTTGAGCTCCCTGGCCGAGATGACAGGAAGTGGCAGATGTTAGCAGAGTATACCTTCTGCAAAAGCCTCAGGAGGACATCTCTGGAGTAGCCACCTTGGGATTCATCCTCCTTCTTGCACTTCCACTTTAGCTACAAGACAACATCTCCATCAACCACACCAGACCATACAAGTAAGCTTGTACTCTGAGCAGACCCAGTGCTGCCCAGACTATGCCTCCTATGGAAATTGAGAGGGAGGCAGCCCGATTAGTTTTTTTAGTGACACTTGGTACATTCTAGGAACCCATCTCAAGCAGCACTCAGAGACGGAGGCAGACAGATCTCTGAGTTTGAGGCCAGCCTGGTCGACAGAGTGAGTTCCAGGACGGCCAGGGCTGTTACACAGAGAAACCCCCGTCTCAGAGGGAAAAAAGAACCCATCCAATGGGCTTCTGAGTATGTTACAACCACCTCGTGTGCAAGCTCTGACAGACAGTCTGAGGGCCCAGGCCTAGGACAATGGAAGGACGCAATAACTGTCCAGTTTCCCACAGGAAAGCACCAGGGCTTGCTGAAAACCACTGTGCTATGATCCCCGATCCTGCAGACTCACCTTTAGTTTGGGGGTTCCTCTGCCTTCAATATTTTCTGTTCTCCCTAAAAATATTGGGAAAAGAAGAGAAGTAAAATTTCAGAGAGCCCAAGGTCTCCCAAAGGAGAGGTGGCCCCAAGCCAGAGGCCTGACCTATAAAGGATCTCAAGTCCAAGGGCAATGTCTGCCCTGCCCTGGTGAAGGGTCTGGTGGGAAGCCGGGTACAATCCCATTCCATCCCTGGGTAGCCTGCTCAGCCACTTCCTGAAGGTCATCTGTTAGCTCTCTCAAATGAAAAGCTGGGAACATATTGTAGGGGCCAGAGACAGACACACAGACCATTCAGTTCCACTGAGGCCAAGTACCCCAAGGCCTTTCCCCTTAAGAACTGCTCCAAAACAGAGCCACCTCTGCTTGGGCCTGACACTTGTATAAAGCACGTAGGCTCCCACAATCTGGTGTGTCACAACAGGATGCTGGGGCCACCATGGGGTATTCACAGGGTTCTGGCAGCTGGAACTTCCACAGCCACTCCGTGAAGCAGCCAGCATGGAGGAGACACAGGAGAGCATTCATTCTCACCTCGCAGCCTCTGCTCTCGGTCCTGGCGGATCTGCTCCTGGACCAGCCTTTGCTGCTCCTCCAGCTGACGGGAACCCTCTTCTCGAAGGCGCGCAATCTGCAGAGCAGGGGAGCGGAGGGGGTGACAATTCTGTGCAGATCCAATGCCAGGGTGGCTCACCTTGTGAAGGTCCCTGGGAGGTTCCACCCGAAGCTAGGGCTCAGCAACCTGTGGGTGGGACAAATCACCCAGCTCCCACAGAAGACAAAAAGAGCAAGCTCTCCCCACA